TGCCCTCCAGTCGTTGATATCTTTGTTATTAGCCAAGGCGATTGCGGATAAGTAGCTGCACTGAAAGTCAATGGTTGGCAGGCAGCGCGGGGTTCCGTGTTTGTTTAGGTTCTTGTGAGATATGTTTCGGGCACAGGAAGTCAACGATAAGCAGTCTAAACTATTTATAGCTAAATGCTTTGCTGCATTTTGAACTGCATTCAAATCAGAAAGGGGGCTACATAAAAAAGAAAACAAGCCTTGAGTAGGGTGAAATGCGCTTTGGAATGTTTTTTAGATAGAAATTGAGAGTGCAACACGAGATTTTTGATTTAATTTGGTTTTTATTTCTTATCGCATATATTTGTTTTTATAGTTCCTTTTAATTTGTGCCTTGGGTAATTTACAGTATGAGCATTTTTCATAAACTGTTTTCAAATTCACATTGCTAATAATTTATAAACTAATTTTTTCTTATCTAATTTTAATGAGGCTTTTGCTGTAAATTGTCTGCATAAAGTTTGTGAGTTCTTTTTTTTTTGGGCGCTATTTTGTTTTTTTAGCAGTAAAAATGAAACGAGTCGAGACTCGACTGACAATTTATTCTAATGTTCGATTCCGATTTTTATCGGCTGCACATAAATTTGAGTGTGTGTGTGTGTGCTCAACTCGCGTAAAATGTTCTGTGGCAACTTTGGGTGATTTATTGCCTGTCGATTGTCGTCGTCGCGACCGGGACGGAGCACAGATCCCAGCGAAATAGAGGCCTGTCTGCCTGGCTGACTGCCTGCAACTAATGTACGCGTCGTCCGTCGCACAGATGCCGCGGATTAGATAAAAACGACGGCGCTCTCAATTTATGCGTGTTGCCCAGTTGCCAATTGGCAATTGCAAGCGTTACTTTCCCCCCTAACTCAGCTCACGCAAATATAAACTCAAACTTGTCGCGCCCACTAAATCTTGGCCATGCATCCATCCCATCCAATCTGTCCATCCCCCCATTCCTCCCACATATCGTCTGCCCCAACAGTTGCCGTCTATCATTTGAAATCATGTTCGGGCGATAAGAAATTATACGGCCGTGGCCATAATTTACGTGATTTGCATGACTAACGAAAAAAAAAAGGTGAAATGTCCAGTTTTTCCACCTCTAATATTGGAGGAAAACTGTGGAGCAGCAGCATTTTTGACATTTATTGTTTTTAATAGTGTAAGGCCTAAACAATTTTTATGACAGAGCTCCACCTCTCTCTCTCTCTCTCTTTCTCCTTCCGTTTTCCTCCCCGCGTAACTATAAAAATCTTGATGTAGCAGTCGAGATCGACGAGTTGCTTTTAAAGGTAAATACTCGTAAATAACACAAATAGAAAAGAAATGTGGAAAAAAGAAGCAATTTTGAAATTAGCTGTGCTGAGCTGCTCTGCACACAAATTAAAAATCCAACATTTAATATTTTTGGATATCAACTTTTTTGAAATTCATGAAAAATGACAAATCGAAACTGTAAATTTCAATTAAAAATATTTGTACTGAGTACAATTTGTGGTTAGCTACGATGTTTTAGTCGTTTTCTATGCATTTGCATCAGCGTACGGCGTCATAAAGTGAAAAGTGTCATAAAAATTAGTCAAGAAATCACGCTGCCTTTACCATACTTCAGTTTTTCATTCTTTCAACTTGATGTGTATTTTTTTTCTTCACATTTTGTCGCTCGTTTATTTGGCTGTTTGTTCTGACACATTTGTATGCTAATGTTGCGGCCGCCGCTTGGAGGTGCAGACGCTTCCGGCGGCTAAGCGCTTAGAACTACTCAACTGAAGGCAACTCAACTCAACTTAACTCGTCTCCAGCTCGATGGGGATCTATCACTTTGATGAGGGTCACCTAACTGCAACAAGGAGCAGCGGCGACGGCAAAGGTCGATGGCTTACTGGAGGATTATTTGAATGGAGATATGGAGAATGGCCATATTTAAGTGTTTTTTCCCCATATTTTCCGCACTGATTTGTTGATTAAGGACTTTAAAAAGTCGTTGAGCGCATTAGCCGGCTATCACAAATTGAAATATATATTTTTAGAAATTGTTTGGTGTCTGCTTTTTGTTTCTGACATAAACAGGGATTTGACTTTTATGAGGGCTACACTAATTTTTGAATAATTAGGATGGCATTTTCAAATATTTATGGCAACCATTTTTTGACGTATTCTCCATTTTTAGATTTTAAGGAGATAAATAAATAAAAATATGATTTCAATGATATTACGCATGCAAATGAAAAGCAACTCAATTTTTATTTTTAAATTTATTTTACACTGCCAGGAAAATTTAATCAGTTATTCTTTATATTTTTCCAAGTCATTTGTTTTCATATAAATAGGTAAATGCAGATTGGATTGAATTTTAAAAATTTTAAAATACAAAGCATTTTGATTGTCAAAACACTCGATTACAAAAAACCTTCTCATTTAAAATGTTTCAACATGTTTTTACTAAAGACAAATAAATTAAGAATTTATCATTTATCATTATCATCTTATAGATTTAAATACTTTTCACTAGTTTCTTTGGCTCTGCCACTATTTAGCTGACTTTGGTCGCTTCCTCTTAATGGTTCAGTCATTAAGGTATCGAGTTTTAGCTCTTTAGAATAATAATTATCGGCATTATTAGCGTAAATTGGTGTTGTCAATCAAGTTGGGGAGGGGAGGGTGGTGACGATAAACCAGTGGAAAAACCGCCCCAATAAAATAATGGGCACATTTACAGTAATTACACATTTCTTGCTGTTATTTTTTTTTTACTTACCTTTCTTCAGTTGACGTTGCTCCTGTCGCTCTCGCTCTCACTCGCGCTCTCTCTCACTCTCTCTGGCTCTCTGTTTCTGTCTTCAACTGTCTGCTGTCCCGCCTGTCGCGCTTTTTGATGCTGGTGTGGGGTGTGTTGGGGGCTGTGTGATGTGCCTCTTAAAAGCACGTTCCTTTAGAAGGACAATAATCCGACGCGTCGTCTGCCTGCTTGTGTGTGTGTGTCTGTGTGTTTGTGTCCGATGTGCCGTTATTGGCGACGCTGCGCTGCCGCTGCTGATGTCGGAGTATAATCCAATAATCCAACACGAATGAGCGTGTGCATGCAATTGCAAAAAATAGACACAGACCACAACAACAACAATAACTACTACAGCAACACTTTGGCTCTTGTTTCTTTTTCTTCCTACGCTATTCGTGCGACTGTGTGTGTGTTTGTCTGTATGTGTGGCTGACGCTTATTTAGTAAATTAAACTTTTCACTTTTTGCAATTTGGCCACACACACACACCAAGTAGAAAATGGAAAATGGGCAATTTGCTTTTGTTGCTTTCCTTTTGGGTTTTCCCCAATTCTCAATACAAATACAATTATATCAACGCACACACACACACACTCAGCAATAAACAAAGCGATGCCGACGCCATCGTCGCTACAAGCAGCAAGCAAGTCTCATCCTAGCTAAACAATAACAACAACAACAATAGCAGTAAGTAGGCAGCTCAGCAGCAGCGTCGGCGACAACAAAAATTTCGCAGTAATACACAAAAAAAATAACCGAATTGAATTCCTTTTTCGCCGTCGCCGTCGCTGTTTTCACCTCCTTTTATTTGTATATATCTTTAGTTGTTGTTGTTATGTATTTGACGTCTGCTTCTATTTCTTTCTTTTATTAATGACTTTTTCACCTTTTTCACCAGTCGCCGCGTAAATTTTGATTTTTTTTATTGCGCTCTTTGCTTGACGACACTCACCGTAAAATTTACAGCTTACGATTTGAATAGAGACACTCTCACTTTGCACACACCTCTTAAGGAGTAATTGTTGCAAACGATACGACGATCATTTGATAAACATTTGAATTGGCTTCTTTTTTTTATTCGATTTTCCGCAAAAACACAACAAAATTTGTATGGAGCGACCGCTACACGCGCGCACGCATCCGTTCGAAATCGCCGTCAATTCCAGACTGTTAGATAAATGTTAAAAGGCAACTGTTGTACTCAAAATGGGCAAGTGCATTGCGCTGTTAAATGCAGCACAATTTAGATGTAAACTTGTGGCGCTTAGCAGGCCAAATATATTTTGATTATTTCATAGGGACAGAAATGATGAACATTGTCGTTTAAAATTATACTAAAATTACACCAATAAAATATATTATTATTTATATGTCTTTTTAATTGTTTTATTCAGATGCTGAATTGAAATCCAGCTTTTTCTGTTAGCGGATGCCTTGCTCTCTGAGCGTCTGTTAACTTAACAGATTAACGCTCTCTAGGTGTGACCATACACCACAACCTCTTGTATTTTTTTAATACTAAAATACTAGTTGCGCATGGTTGCACACAGTCGCACAGCAGTGCCAATTTGAGTTTGTTCCATCTGACAAAAAGCTGCTTGACATACGCATGCAATTAAATAACGGCTATATTTATTAAAATACTTTTTGTAGAGGAATATATATAAAAAAAAGTATATTTCTAAAAATATATACAATAGTTGTGGTAGTATTTTCTACATCCACATTACATACATTGAAAATTTATACATTCGATTGGTGGCTTTAAAAATAGAACATATAAAATTGAACTTCAACACAGAAGTGAAATTTTATCATACATTTTAATTCGCAATAATAAATCTAAAAAAAATACTCACAGATGAGTGTGTAAAAAATCGCCTCTTTGCAAAAACTTGAGTACGCCTTTGATTGCTGATAACAATAATTCTGTTTAAGAATAAAAATCGTCAACAAATTTGAAATTTGTTCTCTCATTCGCTCTCTCTCTCACTCTCTATCTCCCTCTCTATAGCTCTCATTCAGATCCCTCATAACTGTAAATTGGTATTTGTTTTTTTATCGGACTAACTATTACATACTATGTATTATAATTTACCGAATTGATAAGATAACACATACACACACACACATATGTACATAGAAATATTAAAAAATACGCTCAAATTTGTACAATATGTGAAAAAAATAGATTAGTTGCCGTTCGCTTTTGACGCAAGCAAGTTCTACCGGCCAAATGGTGTGTGAAAAAAATTAAAGCAAGCGAAGAGCAAATTGCACAATTCACTTTTTGGATAAGAGAGCTGAAAAGAGAGCGTGCAAAATATGCAGTCATTTAACAGCCGGCTGTTGTTGTTGTTGTTCTACTTCTTCCTCTTCTTCTTCTTATTGTGCCTAAGTGTAACGAGGGCAATAACAATAGGTTTGTGCGTGTGTGTATTTACCGTTTACAATACATATGTATTTGTTGTACGACACGTAGTAATAACATTAGTTTAACTCAGCGTATTCTAATTATCGCTCTACTTTTCCTCTCTTCCCCACTCTTCGCATAGATGAGCAATGCATGCACTCAATCGATAGCTGCGATCGCTGCCTAAACACTCATCTCAACTGCGCCTGGTGCACGGACAAGGTGAGTGTAAACAGCCAACACCCACCCCCACCCCCTCCCCACTCCTCTACCTAATTTTCGCTTTCTATTTCTATGATTGACCGTCTCGCCGAAGACGTATCAGGTGCGCGGTCGTTGCTTCTCTCGCACGACGCTGCTGAGCTTCAATTGCAGCGAGGCGGACATTTATGAGAATCAGCCGAAGCAAGAACGATTGCAGGAGCGACCGCTCAAGGACTATGAGACGAGGGACGAACAGGCGGTGCAGGTGACCCCACAACGTGTTTTCCTCAAACTGGTCAAAGGTGCGTTTATCTTATCTTTGTCCCCCCTCCCATGTGGAGCATAGTCCCGCAGTGGAATTTTCTGTTTTTATGTCAATGTTGTGTTGTTTGCTTTGCTGATTTGTCACACATTACTTTATACACTCGTTTTTTTCTTTTTGCTGGTGTGAGTGTGTGAGTGAGTGTGTGTCGCTTATCAACAATTAGTGTGTCACGTTGGAGTATCTTGAATACTTCTATTCTGAAACGTTCATTGAACCCTCGACTTCGACTCAAGTGTTAACTAAAAACGAATCGCAGAACTCTTAGATTAAACTGCCAATTCTGAATGCACTTAGATAAGAGACAGAGAGAGAGAGAGTGGGAGACTGAGAGAGAGAGAGAGAGAGTGAGAGAGAGAGAGAGAGAGGGAGAGAGAGAGACTGAGAGAGGGGAGAAAGGCAAGAGAAGTACAGGAAATTGCATTTAATACATTTTTATCAAAGATTTTTTAGATTAAATGCAAAAAAGAATTAAGAAATTGTCGAATTTTCGAATTTTGTATTTAAATATTTTCTTCAAATTACTTTTCTTAAAAACATAAATTAAACAAGTTCAAGCAAAAGAAATAGTATAAATCATTAGAAGAATAACCTCAAAGAATGCAGAGAATTACTTCAACACAACTTAAATGAACATCCTCAACAAAAAAGACGAAGAGAGAAAGAAGCAGGGAAAGAAAAGCAGGTGGAAACTCATATGCTGATCTACATATAATAACAGATAAAATGGGAAATGTGAAAATGCAATTCTGAAAAGAGCTGCCATAAAATGCAGTCCGAGCTGATGTGCAACTTGTCATTAGTTGGGATTGTTCAGTGAGCTTAACTTTAATGTCGAATTGCCATTAAGAACATGAAAGAGTGATGGGGAGAGAGGGAGAGAGGGAGAGAGAGAGAGAAAATGCAATTATGTGTTGAGGAAAATTGCAGGCAAAAAAAGAAGGCCAACGATTTGAAATGGGTGCGAACAACTTCAAATGGTTTTAAAGGGTTGCCAATAGTGGAAGTTGGAGTTGGAGCTGGAAATGAGAAATGTGGAATGTGGGTTGGTGGCATCAGGCAATGAATGGTGAAATGTCGAGCAGTCAATAGTTAACAACTGCTTGGCTGTCTTTCAATAGCATTGCAGCCTATAAAACAGCTCGTAAATGCCGCACTTCGACTTTACGGCCATGTTGTAAACCCCGTTTTCATACCCTAAACCCAAATGGAAATGTCTTAAATGGGGGTATGATGAAGTTGTGTCAAAGCATGTAACCGACAGAAGGTTGCCTAAAATATATATATTCTTGATCAGACAAGTCTATTTGGCCTGCATTAACAAGTCGGTCTTGAAGAGCCACTTTTGAATGTTATCGATTACCGATAGCAAGCTGCAGTTTTGAAGAAATATTCTCATGATTAGAATCATCAATTGGTTTGTTGCAAGCAAATATTATGTGAAAACTATTGTTTCCACAGGTGTGTGTTGCATATGCAGAATGGATAGAAAGTGTGTGAATGGCAAGAGAGACTTGTGTACAGGGTATCTCGCAGTCGAGTTCTATCCACTAAAGCATTCTTGTCTGTTGTTTTTTTTTTTTTACTTACCATTGTGTATATCCTTAAATCGCAGGCAACACGCAACGCGTCAAGCTGGGCTATCGGGTGGCACGCAACAATCCACTCGACCTGTACGTGCTGATGGATCTGACATGGACGATGCGCGATGACAAGGATACATTGGAGCAGCTGGGCGCCAGATTGACCCAAACGTTGCACAATCTAACCGATAATTATCGTCTGGGCTTTGGCTCGTTTGCCGATAAGCCGGCAATGCCAATGATAATGCCTCAGTTGCGTGAGAATCCCTGTGCCGCTGAACGGGAACGCTGTGAACCCACCTATGGCTATCGTCATCAGCTGGAACTAACCGATGATATTAAGGCATTTAGTGCGGCAGTTGCGGGCAGCAAGATAACTGCCAATCTGGATAATCTGGAGGGTGGCCTCGATGCTCTGATGCAGGTGATTGTCTGTCCGAAGGAGATTGGCTGGAAGAAGCAGGCGCGCAAGGTGGTCATCCTGGTCACCGATGGCTTCATGCACTTCGCTGGCGATGGCCTCCTTGCTGGCATTGTGCAGCGCAACGATCGCCAGTGCCACTTGAACCAAGCCGGTGAGTATACGGGCTCCTTGGTCTATGACTATCCATCGCTGGAGGAGATCTATCGGGAGCTGCTGAGACGCAAGATCAATGTCATATTTGCGGTCACCGAGGAGGTGTTTGACACCTACAAGGAGCTAAGTGCACTCATGCAGGAGATCAGCAATGTGGAAATTTTGAGTGCAGATTCTTCAAATATTTTGGAATTGATTAAAAAGAGGTGAGCTTCTTGGAATCTTCGAAGTAACCTTAAAGTAAGTTAATCTTTTTATATACAGCTATGAGAGCTTCATTAAGCGCACACAATTCGGTGACAACAGTCCGGATTTTATTAAAATGGAATACTTTACGGATTGTGCTGGACAATTTCCAAATCTGCGCCAGCGAAACTATTGCAACAATGTCGATCTTGGCAAAGAGATTGAGTTCTTTGTGGATGTCACTTTAATAGATTATCCGAAGAACGGTGTGTTGGTGAGTATTGAAACTTGATGTTGTTGAATTCTTGAACTTAAAATCGAAATATTTTCGAAGAACCATAAAATCCGCGTGGAGGAGGCTTCGCTGAACGAGTACATGGACATCGATGTGGAGCTGCAGCAACCATGTCCCTGTGTGGAGGAATCCGATCCGATGGATGAATATCGACGCTTCCAGTGCGATAATCAGGGCTATTTGAATTGTGGGATGTGTGTGTGCGATGAGGGCTGGACGGGCACATTCTGCAACTGCCCCACCGATCCAGCGAATGCAACAACCAATGAGGCACTACTGCGCACCTGCCGCCAGCCATTGAATCACGTGGCCAATACCGACTCCGATTTGGTGTGCTCCAATCATGGCGAATGCGATTGTGGCAGTTGCAACTGTGACCCGGGCTACACGGGCACCTATTGTGAGTGCCTGGAGTGCTACGATTGCGATGAGAATCGCGCCGAATGCCATTGTGGCCAGTGTGTCTGCAAGTACGGCTGGTCGGGCACACGTTGCAACTGCAAGGAGTCTGTGGAGGAGTGCATTGGGCCAACGGGCGACATCTGCTCGAAGCGTGGAAATTGTGATTGTGGCCTCTGCAGCTGCCAGGAGCCGTATTTGGGCAAGTTCTGTGAGATCGATGCGGAGAAGAACAAATTGTGCCAATTCTACGAGCCATGCGTCACCTGTCTCATCGACCAGAAGCAGGGGCGCAATGACTGTAAGAATATTAGTGAGATCTGTTCGAGTGCCGAGTCGCACGAGCGCTTCATCTATTCCTTTGTCGATGAACTGGAGGCGGATGTGGTTTGCCTGGTGCGCATTGTCAACAGTCATGGCATTCAGTGTGATAGCTTCTTTGGCTATAACGTCATCGATCGTGTCAACTATTTGAACATACAGGCTGTCGAATGCGAGCCAGCGAATCTATATGCGATCTTTGGTGTCATCTCACTGGCAACCGTCCTGCTTGGACTGTTCATCATTGGGCTGTTCTGGTGGTGCCTCCGCATGAAGGATGCACGCGAATATGCGCGTTTCAAAGAGGAGCAGGCGAACAGTGTTCGACAAGAGAATCCCATCTATCGAAATCCCATCAGTCATTTTGAAGTGCCCCGGTCATTGAGCGTAAAACCCGATGAGAATCCATTTTCCACTTAAATCGATAAATATTCCATTAGCTAGTGTTGTTTGGGAAAAACTGGAGGGTCAGCATGTACCAAAGCTAAGACAGTCTTTGAAATGTCACTAAACTTGGATAAGCATACAGTTCTACATATGTTTTTTAATTCTAAACTGGGAAACTACTTTTTATTGTAATTTACTTTTACTTCTAATAGCATTTCGTTTGTTTGTTGTAAAAAACATATTATTCTACATAATTATAATTTAGTTGAATAGGTTGCTAAGACCCCAAAGCTTTGAATAGTAACATTAAGCATGGAGTAGAATTACAAATAAAACGCATTTGTTAAATGTTTATATATTATTATTATTATTATTATTTTTTATAAATGTATTTTATAAATAAATTGCATAATCGCATTTACTAAATACTCGATGTGCACAAAATGGTATTAGCTAAGAAATGTGGTAACTTTTGAACGTGTTTTTGTTCGCCGGCTAACTTAGTATTAGTTGAGTTAATATTAAAATAATGCTAGCTAGTAGTATTTAAGAAAAAATATATATAGATTTCTTGTATGAAAAGATTATTATTGTTGTTATGCATAAAGTTTAACTACGGCAAAAGTCGATTGGAGAAATCACGCGGCCTATGCTAAAATAGAAAATAGGCAACAATGCCCTACATAACGATAAATCATTAACTAATTTTACAATTACAATTAACAGAGGGGTTATTTTTTCTTCTTTAAAAACTATAACCAAAAACAAATGCATTCAAGACCTGACTGCGCCTGACTCTCCATCTCTCACGCTCTCCCTCTCTTCTCCCTCTCTCTCTCTGTCTCTCTCTCTTTGTGTACAAAAGTACGAATCAGCATTTAAAGAACTAATCGTATTCGAGGGCCGCTCTGGGCACAACATAACTAAATGTAATATCACTAGACTCGTAGCTTAAAATTATTAAATTGCTTCTTTTTTTTTTTGTGACAACGAATACAACCAAAACAACAGAAAAAGGCTATCGCTGATGGTTGCCTGACCCAAAAATATTTTGAAACAAAAAAAAACAAACATAAATTTAATGTAAACGAATGCCAAAAACACAAATTCAATTACACACACTTCACTCGTAAAACTCCAAAAAGGAGGTGGAGCAGGAGTAGCGGCACTCCTCATAGCACCCGTTCCCCCAATGAGGGTGTCCGCTGGATGAGCATCGAGGGTGATTTGGCCGGCATGGCCGTAATGCTGGCGCTGTTCAACTGAGCATCCAGTTCGGCAATATTCGCAACGGTGGTGGTGGTGGTGTTGGGAATGATGCTGCTGTTTACCTTCATCTCGTTGTTGTTGTTATTGTTGCTGGTCTTGTGTTTGGCGTTGCAGCTGACACTGCTACTGGGCAGACTATGGGGCGAGGCATCGGGCACCAGGCGACGCAACAAACCGCCCACACAACCCCAAGGGAAAGTCCTGCGAAAAGAAAAAAAAATCAAATAGGTAAGCGTTAAAGGTAAATGTTATGCATTATTAACGTGAAACACATTAAAGCAAGACCATTAGGCATGAGCATTGAAAGAGAATCTTCCATGCGGCTGTGATTACCAAATGGTTAATAATTCACAATCCGAGCGAGTGAGGGAAATGCTATTGTCATTGCCATATATAATTTATTTGGCAATAAGTTTTAATTTGCATTTTTGGGGTTGCTTCTATTCTTCTAGTTAAATATATATATTATTTGAGAGTGTGCAAGAAATAATAACTAAATACTTGGACTGTATTAGTATAAATGTTTGTCACGTTTTCTTTACACTGCCTGGGTTCAGGGTAAGTCGTGTCGAGCTCACTCGACTACAGTATTCTTACTTGTTTCATCTATGAAGATGAATACTTGTCATAAATATTCCAGTTTGCTGCAGGCGGCACATGTATCTAAGCCGACCGGGTCGGATGAGTATATTATATAGTTTCCACAGCAAGTATTAGTCAAAATAAAAGGCAAAATGTTCCTCAGCTTTAACTCTGTAAACATGATTTTTTATTGGCATGCAGGTAAAAATACTACCATAAGAAAACCACTTGTGGACGCTTTCAAGCATTCCAGCCATAATTCTGTCAAAACCTAATCGATTATGAATATCAATACCTTATAGCACTGGGCAGACAACAGCAGCATTTGCTGTTTAAGAAAATTTGTAGTCAATCGGGCAGATTTTGCATGCAGTACCAATCCCAATCACTGCCCAACAAGCGAGTCTCAGGAGAGAATGTGGTCATTTAGCTAATTTGTGGGCAATTATAAAGATATTTAGAAGGGTTTACTCACCACTTGAAGGACAGCAGGAACTTAATGAAACCGGGAATGACTGCAAGTTTCTCGTTCTTCCTAATGGATGAGATGACGCGATCGGCCACATCGTTGGGATTCAATGTGGGCACCCATCTGTGTGAACAGTTAAACTGTCAGTATATTACCACATGGGTAACGCCCCTAATCGCTCTCAGTGGCGCTGCTCAACTCACCTGGCATTCACATCGTCAAACATGCCCGTCGCCTGAATGAAGAACGGACAAATGCAGGTGGTATGAATGTTCGTGTGTCCGAGGACTTCCAGCTCCAGACGCAGTGCCTCGTCAAAGCCAACCTGTAATTATTATAGTATGCAAGTATGTTGCATGTAAGTAAGATACATTTACTCTGCCACTGTTATTTGCATACAGTGTGTAACAGAAAGGGTAGAGCGTGCAAGACAGAGGGAGGTGCAATGCCCCGCTGCAAAATACTAACCGCTGCAAATTTGCTGGCGCAGTAATCAACCAATTTGCTAATGCCAACATGGCCAGCCAGTGAGGCTATCGTTGCGATGTGTCCTCGTTCTTTCTCAATCATTTTGGGCAGAAACGCTTTTGCGGTCTGTGCAATGAAAACAGGTAATTTTAGCAAATGTATTTAGATATATATATATACATATATATATATTTATTTGTGTGTGTGTGCAAGTTCAACTAACCCAAAAGTGTGCCATAACATTCACATGGAATGAGCGCTCGATGAGATGGTCTGGCGTTTCCAACAGGTGCAGCCCAGACACAACACCAGCATTATTGATCAGCAACGTAACCTGCAAAAGATAAGCACAAAACAAACAACAACAAAAATAAATAACCAAAAATCAAGTTTTTATTTTACGAGAAACCATAAGCAGTTTTTTGGCTTCTGTTTTTTTTTTCTTTTTTGAGAACAGCTGCCACAGAATTGCAGCAATTTATTGGATTTTGCGCAAATTTACATGTTGAGGAAATTGCATAACTGGCGTTCTACTAACATCAAAATTATATTCTTAACTCGTTTTGACTAATCGATTGACTACAGCAGCCGGGCGGTGCCTCGACTTTAGCTCTTTTGCGATGCATATATTTTTAACTCGAGAGTCTTAAACACATCCAGGTAGCCCAGAAAAGATGAATTGCTTTTGTTGTTAAATAGCTTTAAATCAGTAAAAAGAGTGTGGCAAGTCAAGGTCTAATTGCAAATAATGTAAAATGCTTGAAAGTTAAAAATGTGATTTCAACAATTGTAAGCGTCGCTTGAGCTGTGTCTGCTGTTGCTAGTTAACCAAGTTAACAACAAGTGCAACATTTCATTACAAAAATAAATTAAAAGCAACATGAAGTAGCTATCATAGCCACAACAACAACAGCCACAACAAGTACGTACAACAAATTCAGGCCACAATGAGTTCAAGTGCAACGCTGACGGGGGCAAGCGGTCGGATGGCGGGTCACACATTGCGTATGCGCGATTTCTACTAGCGAGCAAAAAAACAAACAAAACATTTAACGAGGCGTGCATTAAATAAACAACAACAATAATAACAAAAATAAACACGGCTACTGGCAAAGCAGCTATTAAAAATATTAATCGTAATATTTCAGAGAGCAGACGGTGACAACAACAACAACAAAAAGAGTAGTAAATATTACTATATAAACAATAACAACAATAGCGGCATTTACATAACGTATCACAAACATAAATGTTTTAGTCTCATCTCTTACTCCCTCCTCCTACCCTATTAACATAAAAATGTTGCCAAATACGGGTATTATGTGCCTATATTATTCAATCTTATGCGACTTAAAATGGTTTATGGAAACTTGTGTATTTCAGTTAATAATTCAAATATTATTTAGAGTATTATTATATTCTAATAGCAGGGTATGTTACCCTGCAATACATCCAATAAAAACAGCATTCCACTTTATTCCAAATATGTTTTCCCTTTGTTTTCATTTTGTTTGCTGTTCTCTGACCGTTCGCTTTGTGTTCAGCTGTGTCATTATATAATTCGTTCAAACTGTTCGCGTTTATTTTTTCTCCCATTATTGTTTTTTTTCTATTTTTTCTTTAATAGTCAAACAGCTGGCTCTAAAGATTGTATTTTGCTTGTCGTATATATATATATATTTTTTTTTTTTGCATTTTCATTTAGCTTTAAACAATGGGAAATACTATATATATATATTTTTTTTTGTGTTGTTGTTGAACTTGTCAGAGCGTTAATATTTCATTTCGAAATAGCCGCTGGCCAAGCGTAAAATATTTTTGGCCCCCTATTAAATACTAGTTTATATCAACTTTGGAACACTTAACTGACCAAAATTGTGGATAATTTTCGGGTATGAATTTGTATAGAACAATAAATTTCATTTTGTATAATTATAGTTTGGCTTTGAACCCATTATAATTAGAATATTAATAAGTTCATACAAAGTTCAAGTGTCTGACAAAATAATAATAGCAAGTATCAAAAAATAATCACATATTTAAAAGTTAAATTGTTCCAAGATATTAAAGATTTGTTTGATATTAAGTGCTTATATATTATCTTCATATATATAGAAGAGCACAAGTAGTCAAAAGATGATCATGCACAGTAGAGGGTTAACAAAGTCAGCTATAAGATATATTTTGGGTATATAAATTGAGACAGACAAATCAAAAGAATCGCAGCTTTACATCATTAGTGATACAATAGATATTCAACATTGCATAACACATTGTGTGTCAAAATCAAGTAAAGGGTGACGAAAAGTATTGTGAATGACTTTATTTGATGCGCTTGCCGGACTTTCGACACTTTGGCAAAACTGTGCTAATCACATTAGCAACTGCACTCAGTTGGCAGCAGTCAGCCGTTAACTGTTGGCGGTCAGTATTCACAGTTGCATTTGCTGTGTGATAATGAATGCCATGACACGATTTGTGGCGGAATGCTGCAACCTTATCGCCTTGGCCAGCATGCGAGAATTGTAAGATTTATGTATGCATGTGTGGGACAAGAAGCGTTCGAGGCAGTCAAAATTAGTGCCTGCGATTTTTATGCACTTTTAATGCGTGTGCAACAAGCTGGCACTGCAACACCTCGTGCTTCGTGCGACTAATTTGAATGCGGCAGCCAGCCAGAGAGAGACGGGGCAGGAAACAGGTAAAAGTTCGTCTATATGGTAGCAGTTGCTTCGCTCCACATTAAAATTAATCACCAGATGCACTGCAAGTGGCAACCAGTTTGAAGACCCGTCCTCTCTCTTTCTATCTTTCTGTTGATGTCTCTCTTTTTATCGTTTCTCAAGGCTGAAGATGCGCTCATGCATATTAATGTGAGACTCGACGTGCCGGCGGACAAAATTTATGACATAAGTATATGTATAAAAGTGTAGCTTAGGGGCGTATCTGGATGAGAGTGTTGGGCCTACATGTGTTCTGATAAAGGGTTCTGGCCATTAAATCGCCCCTCAACAAATAATTACGTAGCTAAACATAGACGACTATTTTAGGCGCTCAACTGTGAACAGCAATTAGTACAGTTTAATGCTTCAATTGATGCACGAAACTCCACAAGTGAATTTCCCTTTTCTATTTACACTTTTTTTTATTTACTTACATCACCGACTTCGTCTCTGATGACATCGGCCGCTTTGTAGACCTCTTCTTTCTTTGATATATCCACAACATAGCCCTTGCAATAGCCACCCGCCGCTTCCACGATCTCAATGGTTTCCGCAATGCCTGATTGATTGAGAAAATTACATACATTAGTGGCTGTTGCTGTCTCTCTTTCTCTTTCAATTGTCTTACCCTGTTTGTTAATGTCCCAGATGACGACTTTGGTGCCCATTTTGCCGAGTCTTTCGGCCAGCAGACGACCCAATCCATTGCCGCCGCCAGTGATTAGTGCAATGTCAGTGCTGAGTTCCTTTTCGGGATAGCCAAAGGTAATGTAATAAAGGTCCTGCAGGAAGAGAAAGAAACGAGAGTGGAAAACGTGTTGATAATTATACAGGAAATGCGGTAAACTAATTATAACTATAAATTTTATATCTCTTGAAAACATTCATTTACATTATTGATATCTTATTGATTGTCTTAGAACTGGCATTAAGGCGGTGTGAAAGTGCTAAAGGATTTAGTTTAGTTTTTTATATATAACTTAGTTAATAGCTCTCAATCTCTCATAATACATTTTCATGATTTCCTTATAGAAATCTGTTGAACCTTTGTCAAATCTCAATTACTTCAAGTTCGTTGCCTAAGTCTTTTGTTTTCAATCGATACATTCTTTGCATTTTTCCAGCGAGTGTTTGCCAACACAGGCAAACAATATTACTGCATATACAAATATATGTGGCATATGCAAATTTGTTATTTTCCAAAGAAATAAAACAAATGCCGACAAACTACAACATAAATGGGCAAACAAAGCGGAGATAATGCAAATTGACGGTAGTGTGTCAATAAACGTCGATTTTGACGCCTCTGCCCGTGCAAATACTTGAAATATGTGTGACTCTGTTAAGTATTTCAACTCTTTGGTCGCTTGTTGATTTAGCGTCAATAAGCTGTCAACATTTATGGCTCGCACGTCGGCCAAGTCACACACAAAGAAAACAAAAGGCGTGGGCAACAACATTAACATAACATTTAACATTCTTCGGGAGGGAACAAATATAACAATGCCAACAACAAAAACAACGGCAACTGCAGTATCCCAAAAACAAAATTAAAAAAAAAAAACTCAGCATAACATAGTAGCACTTTTCATTTCGCTTGCCACCGGAGGCGGCTCATAAATTTTCGTGCCACACGCGACGCTTCGGCTTGAAGCCGGTGGAATTTGGATCTGTGTGTTGGGGTGCAACATCAGCTTCTGCTTTAGGCCCAACACTGGCAAGCGTGTCCAATTATTTTGACATTAACAATGAATGTGGCACAAACCTGACTGTTCTGCCCTGTATTCAAAAAATAGTGGGTGCAAAGGCTATCGAAAAATTTTAAAGTAGTTTGTATATATATTGCAAACTTACGTCAGCGATATTATTTTTGCTTGATGCATTAAGCTTAATTTCCTATGTAACCATAGCAATTTTCATTAAAGCTTGGTAAAGGGTATCTTTCACGTCCATACATTTCGAGCAAAGCATTTTAACTTGCTATGCTACGAAGTTAGCCCAAGAAAAACTCATAAATAATACGGAAACTTTTGAAAAGATAACATGTCTGCAGGTGCCTGAAGATGATAATGATATTAATAATGATGAGTTGCTTCTTTCACTTGTTGCCTTGTTGACAGACATTGTGTCACATAATTGAACATGCAATTTTTGTGTTAATCACCTCTCCCTTCTCTGTTACATTAACAAGGACAGGAAGTGAATTATTATAATTAATGAATTACCTGAGAATAAATTAAATATTTGACTGATGCGCATTACGTCATAAGATTGTCTTGTTCTTCATATTTACAAGACTCCTGTTATGACTCATCACATTAAATGTATGCCAAATGCCAAAACCCAATCCATTTTAACTCGAGTATTTTGTATTTCAGTTTTCAAGCTTATGCCAAAAAAAAAAAAACTTCTGAATAAACTTCAATACCACGGAAGTCAATTCTACAAAGCAAATCGGTTGCTTATTCTGTCAGTTCAATAGGTAATAAACTTCGATCATGACTGGCCATATTTAAGTGGCATCTATCTAAGTCTAATATAGTGGGGTTATATATGCCTTGTCATTTGACAAAAAAATAAACAAACAGGAAAAAATATTCGTTTTTCACAATGTATCGTTTGTAAAAGCGAAAAACCTGCTTCGTCAGCATGGAACTTGTCTAGGGTTTTGGGATTTTTATGGGTGGTTAATGGTTTGATAGATTGTTCGTTTGATTGTCAAGGTGAACGCAGTGACCTTTGTAAACCAAAAAAATTCCAAAGGCTTAAATGCATCAAGCTAGTTCCAAACAATGCTGAGATATGATACAGATGTGACTGGTAAGTAGAGCGTTATGATTTTCACACATCAACATTAATTTTCTTGGAAGGTCGAATTTAAAGGTAGGCGGAACTTTTGTAAAATCATATAAGACTGTGTAACTTTAGAAAATGAAAGCAAGAAATGAACAAGACTTGTTTTATTAACATTTAAGACTTGTTTTTTTGTTTTTGTATTTAGCATGTTTAAGTTTCCTTAACTGATTATATTTTCCCAGTGTATTTCTTGCTAAGGGAACTTTGTTTGATTTTACATATGAATAACCACTTTACCACTTACAAGACAGTCAACGCAGATCCAACAACTTCTCATTAACATTAGCTGTTAATTACGGTAGTGTCGTCTTGGATCAACATTTAAACACAACTTTACAAATTAGTCAATCTTTCTAACTGTGCATTATGATTGTTTTAAATCGCTTGAAATTGCTGGCAATCAGCATATGGAGCTACGAATCTTGCGTAATTATGCAAATTCAAAAGGAAGATGGAAACGAAGTAAACACTGCATTAAAACCGCAAACAAATTTGAATCATGGAAGTTTTTCTAAATGTTAACTTCTAAAGGCGACATTTGCTGCAGTGCAGGAGGCGAGTGGTCAAATGTGTGTTGTTGTTGTTGCTGTTGTGCTTGAGCAAAGCTAGTGGTAGACGGCGGCAAAGCCAAAACTTGTTTGCTCCGTCCATTCAGGAGAATTGCGAAAATTTAAAATCTAAATGAATACGGCAACGTCGGACCAGGTGAATTCTAAGCCAGCTAGCTGAAAGTGAAACTGCCAGCCGGCGGGGCAAGCCACCAAGCCGGCCAGATAGCAAACCAACGCCAATACAAGTGTCTTGCCCAACAACACTATACAAACGACGTTGCAGCGATCGTTTAGCTCCAAGCTTGACGCCACAACTCGACTCGACTCGACTCAACATTAAGCCACTCGAATCGATAGCTAGCCGTAATTGGCACGGTTTTAACTTGTCTATAAGAAGCATAATTTGAGTGTGAAGTGTTGAGCGCTTTTCATTGAGTTGCTTGTATACGAAAGACTTAAGGCACGAACTTGCAATGCGTTGAACTGTTGCAATTTTCAATTTGCTGCTACACTCGTCTTTTCTTACTCTACTCACAACTATGATGACCTTCTTTACAAAATGATTAAATATATATGTACATATATAAATATATGAAAAGCTATGCACAATGAAAAATAATTGAACCTGATAAAATAAGTGAGCTGCGAGCTGAAGAACAAAATGAATAAGAATAAAAGTCTTAAAGTTGATGTAAGCCCAGTGTACTAATATTTAGACTTATATATTTTGCAGACCCCATTTAAATCGTTAGATTCTCAAATAATAATCACCAATTTATCATAGTTCGCAATGATAAAATCTTTATAGTTTTCAATGCTATTCATTTCAATCTGATTAAATTAGTGCCAAACACTTTGACAGAAAGATTAACTCACTTATTAAAATTTAAAAAAAAGAAGAAATATTTGTTCAATTTCAATGACATTAAATTTGAATAACTCGTGTTTTATTTAAACCAGATTTATAAGTTTAACAACGCATGCGTCGCTCTAGACACGACACGTATTTAGTTTGCTTTGCTTTGTAGTTTCGTTGCACTTTGAGGCCTCATCATAGAAAATGCCATGTCTGTTTCAAAATCTTAACTCTCTGGCAGAACTGGTCAATGAGTTCGTCTTCATTTTTCTTGTTATTGTTGTTGGTCGGCCGCTTGGTAAGCGGCCTTCAAAATCTAATTTCATTTATAACCATGCAAAAATTAACACTTACACAATTGTAATTACTTTTTTCCAGTGTACCCACCGCATGTGATGTATGGCTAGACGCGCTCATAAATCTGGCAATCAAATTCTGTGCTGCGTCATAGTTGCAATGCCGATATTTGCTGCAGATTGTTTTGCAAATGGAGGCGATCACTGAGCGGATATGATGTGATGTTTGAAATTGATATAAAGACTAATGACACACTGCATATGATAACGAATATGTTTTTATACTTATGCTTATACGTTTGTATAGTTTTTGTATCGCAATATTATTCAAAATTCGTTCAACAAGCTAACTCAAGAAATCTAATAATTACGGAATTGCTCATAAAATAAAAATAAAATATTTAAGTATATATTCATAATATATCTGTTGAACCAGTTATGATATTGAACCAGATTTAATGCTTCATATTTCCATATTTCGAAATTGGATTGGAATAGAATATATTTATACAATTTTAACTAAGCAGATTTCGACATTTTATTTATTATATTTTTATCTTATTTTGTTGTAAAATTGAGCCTAATGCGTAAGACATATAAATCACTTCATCTAAAATTTACAACCCATTTACAACCCTTGAGTGACACGCTGTCCTAAACCACTTTGCATGAAAGATAATCCAAACAAGTGAGCCAAGGCCGTTATGGGTAGTGAGCCTGCGCTTCAAATAACCTCCATCCACCATCCACCATCGACGACTTCAAACAAAAGCGCACATATGCAATACCAAGCAGTAGTTATACGACTTTTGTGGTTGTTGTTTGACCAACACTTTCGATTTCAATTGCGTTTACTTCTTTTATTTTTCTTCTGTTTCACACATACTCATATACTGGCGTCCAAACGGGCAGGTTGCCCGCGAAAAATATGTGTGTCTTGTTGGTATTGTTGATGTTTTGTTTGTTGCCACAGCGGCAGCCGCAGTGGCAACAACAGCAACAACAGCAACAGCCGAACCCACAACTAGCCAAGCTAATAAAAACAGGCTTCAAAGCGCGGCTGCAAAGCCGGCAAAATGCAAAAGTTGAACTGGGTCAACAAGCCAAAACGCAGCAGCGACGCCGACAGCGAGGCAAGCGTTACTGTCAACGTGTTGTGGTTGGGCCTATGTTTGTTTGGTATTTATTCAATCTTTTTTTTTTGTTGTTATTGCTTCCCAATGTTGTATTACATGAGCCTGAGCGACAATTCTAGGAGCGGCAAGCGGCTACGCTCTCAAGTTTGTTGCCTAAGTCTTTTGTTTTGCATTGCCAACAAATCAGAATTGGAAATTCAACGACATAATTCAGGTTAATATCGGGTCGGATTGAGATGCAGCCAAAGTCCATAACTAGCACTATCAATCAATATGCAAGTGCAGCAGACAACATCATTCAACACCAACAATAACAACAACAACAACAACTTGCCAGTCATCGGTGGCGCGTCTCGCATGAATCTAGCAAGCAAATATATATGCAAATTGGTTTTGGATCGCGCATGACTCGTTGATATTGCATTCAGCATGCAAATGTCAACATTTTTCAATGGGCAACGCCTCCAAGCGACCCACGCAACTCCCCTCCCCCTATCTATCTGTCTGACTCTATGCAGTTGGCATCATTGCCGCTAGTTAAGCATTCAGGCAAAGAGAGTTACCTCGGCAATTTAATGGCACTCATGCGTAATAAGACCCAGGCAAATACATGATACACATGCTATACTTAATGCTTATATCTCCACACACACACACATACACACAAGCAAACACATACACATAACAAAGCCGAGCAATGCCGCAAACTAAAAAGGTTTTTAATTTTATCTTGGTTGCCAAAGTGAAATTAATATAATTATGTGGCCCAACAACAATAACAACAACAACAAAAAAACATACAAAATTGTTGCCTTTTATGTAATGCTGCGCAATTTGTTTATAAAGCAAAGCATGTTAATTTCGCTGACCACAGAAAAAAAAAGTAAATAGCAAATATTTCCCTTAAAGCCTTATATCGAAATTCTTTGTTAACTAGCCATAAATTTCAATCGGGCACTTTACATCAATTAAGCAACTTTTTTCTTTACAGCCATTTTGACGTCTCTTATTTTTATAATCTTAAAAGCGTTTAGAGTCCGTAAATGTCTAAATGTCTGTTCGTAGTCCAATCTACAATGGGGGATTTTTTTAATTTGTACAAAAAACCGAATTGACAATGCTTGTGATGATTAATGTTTTTTTTTTGTGATAAAGCACTGTTAATAAAATAACTTTGGCGGCATTAAGTTGATTCTACAATAAAATTTCATGCAAATTAAGTGTAGTCATATCAAATCACAGATTTGCTTAGCTAAGAATTTGTTTTCTTATAAGAAATAAAACAGTCTACTTAATCATATAAGCGAATCGTTAAAATTAATAAAACTAAACTGTATAATTGGCCAATCTGCAGATGCCGATAAGTATGTATAACGAATAATGGATGAAGATCGAAAGTGCGCGTGTCTTTAATTGTATATGCACGACGATGGTAACCACAAAACGTAGATGAAATTGCAGACATAGTGATAAACTGCGAAGAGTTGTATTGACAAGAGCAGCCAAGAGCAGCCAAGAGCAAGGGCACTACTTACGACAACAGGGAGTTAAAATAAGTTGATCGAAACGAGTTTTGCAAATGATTTTATTACATTTATCAAGTGAATCTCTTGCATAGCAGCTTAATGTAATTGTCCTTTTCCCGAAAATACGTCTCCTTAACTTTTTCAACAAATATTTTTATCAATTCCATCAAAAAAAAGCTTGATTAAATATTGCAGTTTCTTTTTCCACTGCAGGACAAGAAAAATACTGTAAATTTAGAATTATTCCATAAACTACTTAAAGCATTAATAAATTATGAAGTAACCAGGAGTCTCTTCTGACTCGCTTAATGTGAATTTAGAACACTTATAATTTCAATTCTCTGTAAACTCATTTTACTAACACAAACTAAATATTTATAATTATCTTTTTAATAAAAAAGAGTTTTAATTTAGGAAATAGGAAGGGAATATATGAAAATATGATTGTAATCTATATAGAAATGCAGTAATATCTAACTTCAATTATTATTGATTTACGAAAAATTGGTCTTTGAAAATGGCCTTACACAAAGCCTTTAAGTATTATTTCTTTTTTGGTTATACGCATTTTCAAATCGAAGATTTTGGGTCAACTAATCAAACAATTAACTCGTTAGGCATACGGAAATATATAAATGCAAACAATAAAACAATTCGAATATGTTAAATAGTTGTAAACAAAGGCCCTGCTTTGGTGTGCAAATAATATTATATAGATGTTAATTTTCTAAGCTCTATATTTGACATTGAATAGTTCAAATGTTATATCTTACCTGAAATATATAACCTAAGCAGCAGATGATGAACCACGCGACATCAGCGAATGCATCCCAAGTATTCCAAATGGCTTCACGCCAACCGTTTGGGGCAGCTTGTGGTGTGGTCGCTGCCACTCCAACAGCGGTACCATTGCCATTTTGGAGCGGGTGTCCGTTGGCAATCGTTTTCACATCTGCCTCCAGATTGTTATTGTTTTTCACCATTTTGGACACTCGTAATTATGCACTTTAGATTGTTACAATTTGAATATTTTAGTTATTTATTTAACTTGTTCAAGTCCGGCCACATTGAGTAATTTTCGTGTAATTTGTTAAGCTGTAATTCTTCGATGCAAACGAAACACAAGCAACTACAACAATAACAATTGTAATAATAACAAAACAGGCAAGACAACGAAATTTTTGAATATTTTGTTGCTGTTTGTTTTACAGTTTGCGTTTATTTTGTTTTGTTTTTTTGCGCTTTTGGCTTTTGGCTTTTGTATCTGATTTTTTCGCGTGCACACGTCCGCTCTCGTGAGCGTAGCAAACGAATTTGAACGAAAGGAATGAAATTCGACTTCTTATTTTGGGGCGCTATTGGATACTGCTGCTAACGTCGCTGTCGCTGACGACGTCGACGTCGACGTTGTCGTTCGCTCAGCGCTGACTGAAACTTGGCGCCGCTGTGACGTCACGAAGCTTCTGCTAGCGCTGTTGCTGCGACTTTCAACTGTTTGTTTTTGTTTTTGTTTTTATTTTTGTTTTGAACGCGACACGCGCGATGGCAACAAAAAGCAAAAGTTGAACACAGCAGTGACGACTACGTTCTTTTGTCGGTTTACGCTAATTGCTTATTTCGTGTTCGCCTGTGTAACTCAATAAAAGCTTTAACTTTAATAATGCTGTTGTTGTTGTTGCTGCTGCTGTTGTTTTGCCTGATTGCTGCCCATTGTAAATGCAAATTGATTGCATTTGCTGTCAAATAAAAGCTTTATTAATTTTATAGCCAACTGCATTAGAAGCACGCCATAAGGTGCTTCATTTATGCAAGCAAATTAACTACTATTAACTATAAACAATTATATGTTCAGGGCTCAACGCCTTTCATTAGGTTTATTAAGTAATGTTGCACATGATATTATGCATGATCTTAAAATGTAGTTATAAGATCGTAAAAACAAGCAACATTGGCATGCCTATAAAGTATTTTCTAAGAGATGCAATTTTTTTGTAAGCCTCAATAATGGCTTTTGCATAATAAGCACTTTGTCTTTATTTCTTTTGTAATTTTACACTAATTGCATATTTTATGTTCGCCCGTCTAAGTTAATAAATGCATTAACTTTAATGCATTTCCTGTTGCCTTTCCTAATTGCTGCAAATGAATTATATTTTATGACAAAGAAAAGCCTAATTACAAACAATTGCATTAAAAGCACTTGCAAGCTAAATATACAGTTATGTTTAATCCTTAAAATCTCTCTCTCTCTCTCATTATGTTTATATTAATGTTGCACCACAAGGTAATCAATTATGGTTTCCGCAAAATAACATTTACATACATATTTAACTCTCCCCAAATGAGTTCACTTTCCACTTAGCTCTTGCATACTTCCATTTCTTAACAGTTATTAAGAGCCTGTGCAAAGTTTCGGTTTCTCATTACTTATGGATTAGTAATGGATATGTTAATCAACAAGTTACTTTCGCAACTTACTTATTTCAAAATTGAGATGCCAAACTGTATATGACTTTACTTTCCTTCAATACAATTCTGAATTATGTTTAATATCGCGTTTTGCGTCACTCAAGCGAATCAAAACAGATCCCAAATGAAAGTAAAATGACAAACAAGTGTTAATTCTCTTTGTTATTGGCATCTTGTTCGCCTTCTCTTTTGTGGTGCTTCTTCCTCGCGGACTGTTAGCATCAAGTTCTCATCTGCATTTAGAATGTATTCATTTGAGTGCTGATTCCCTCTGGTCTGCTCACGACAGGGAAGTTTGTTCCTCATCTAATGCGAAAATTCTCAAATCGATTTTTTATCTGCTTTAAACAAAATATTGAAGAGTCCACTAAATAAAACTGAACGCATTCAGGAGCATGCTTTTTAGTATTTAATATATACATATATATGTATGTCTGAAGTATTTAATATATATCTCTAAAGAATGCTGGCTAAAGGGTATCTTTTAGTTGAGTTACTTCAAAAACGGCTCTCTCTTTAGTTGTATACCCACATTTTTTTTCTTTTCGGAGCTAACTAGAGGATATATTCAAGTCGATCACTTTTAACTACGTTGTTCTTGTAAACATATTACGAATTTCATCAAGTCGAAACAAGTTATGCAAATCGTGAGTATTTCTGCAATTCTTGTCGATTTCGTCACATGTTTTGTTTTTGAATTTGAATTTTATTTGATGTGCTTTATTTAGGTCCATTATTCTATATTCATTTGCATTTCAAACAAGAATTTGCAGTGTCTGCTCTGGGGTCAAAAACCCTCAAAAATTTAAAGGCCGTCTAGTTTTTGGACAACTGCATATAAGATGACAAGAAGTTGACGGGTGGGCGAATGTAAGCCGCATAGTGAATTGCATAAATGTGAAGAGGTTTTAATGTCGATAGTTTCTTCAGACTGCTGAGGGCACTTCTAAACTTCAACTTCAACTTTTGTTTTGCGCAATATTATGAACTTAATTTACATATCGGCATTTGACTGGCAATTTCACAATTTTCACAGAGCACAGCCACAATTCCTCAAATGTACAATTCAAACTACGAAGTTAATGCTGATAACCGACTTTAGAATAATTGCTGCGATTTACAAATTAAATATTCACTTTATCTGCTTTTGACTAATTTTATTTTAATATTACTTTCAACGTCTTCTTCTTGCCACTTTATATCGAGAGTGACATTCGCGACGCACGCGCAGAAGGCAAGAGTAAAACAAACAGAGAGAGAGAGAGAGAGTGCGAGAGAGCAGCATATGAAAGCCGGGAGAGAGCAGGCAATGGGAAAAGGTCAGCTGTGATTTGGTTTAATTTGTGTGGTGGTCGGTTAACTGGGAGAGCGGCATGGCAAGTGGGAGCACAAAACAGCTGTTGACAGTGTTGCGAATCAGTCAAATATTGAATAATCAAGCGAAACGTTGTTGTTTCGAATAATTGCGCATCAAATCACATTCAACTTACAAACATTTAAAGCCCAGTCACCTGACTAACTACTTTAATCATGTTATTTAATAATTTCCGCCTAATTAGCTATAGAAACAAAACAACATTCTCTATATTCAAAAATTTATTTCCTTTTTCTAAATATTGCTTAAATAAATTTAACCTCGTGCCCTGTTGACCGCGCGCTAAAAATATGTTAATCCATGATAATAATAAAAAAATAAACACACTCAAACATTTTGGTTGACCTTGACGGGCGCGCAAAAACCCGTTAGAACCTCAGATCGAAATTAGCGTAAATTGCTGAACACATCCATTTGTCAAAGTTTGAAGCAGTGGCGCCAATCGAAGAACTTTAACCTATTTCACTTCCTCACACGCACACGCACACACACAGAGACACAATACCAATAAACATATTCGTACATTCATATGTATGCATCTCTAGATCTAAGAATTCTCGTTTCTCGATACGTGAGGTTTGCAAAAACTTCCGGCAAAGGTTCCATAGATCGTGTTTTCTGCCATGTGCGTCGCCATCAATTGTTTGATTTCTTGATGACTTGGAACTCGTCTCAGACTCTGTATAAATGTGTAAAATTTTTAATGTCGTCACTTTTTAATTGCCTGGCGATGGCCCATTTAATTAGAACTACTTAGCCTTGGTGTTGTTAATCACAATTCATAAATATTCCAATATGGCATGCCAATAATTATAAGCTCGCTAATTGTTGCCGTACTATTATATAATTTCTTAGCGCTTTTTCTTAAAATCATCAAGGCCATTTCAATGCTGGACAGATGATAGATATTTATCATATTCGCTTTTAAGTGTTGGCCATAAATTTAATTCTGCAATTCTTAGATCCAATTTGCAATATACCAATTATTTTGGGTGAACTTTTCAAAAAAGAACCCGTTTTCATATTGCGTTTTAAGTTAAAATAAAATAAAGATATATATATATATATACAAATATATATACAATAAAAATAATATACATACAAACCCCAAAATATTTCAAGCTTCGAAATTTTTCAGATTATTTATGGTGGTGATTCGTTAAGCATATAAGTAAATATAAATAGCATAAAATATAATAGAATAATAAGAAATATGTAGAAAAATAATACTATAATGATAATAATGATATAATGAAAAAATACTTCTTTTTTTGATAAGTGCGTGGCACAAAGATAAAGTCTTTTAACAAATTTATCTGCTTCAGCTGAGATTTATATGGTTAAATAGTCTACGAATACTTTCCGGTCGCGGCTCGCCTAACTTCCGTCGAAATTGACCTAGTTTATTTGATATAGCTCTAAAACGTGATGCAGGCGTCATTGATTGATTTTGATTATAATTATGGCTTTTCTTTAAGGTGATATTGATTAGCTTTAACACACCCAGTGGCTTGTAACATCAACTTCAAATATGAGTCACTGAACTGAAATGACCTAAGTTGAGGCTGGCTAACTGCAAACAAGAAGCTTAAGACATCAAAAGGCATAATTTTTCCGTCGATAAATATGTAAATTAAATAGATGTAAATGCTTTTGACACGTAAAAACAATATGTATGGAAATGATAAAAAATAAATATTTAATAGATCAGTGCTATGAAATAACAAATTAGATACTTAATTTTCAAATTGAGATATACGTGTGAATACTTAAGAAAATGATTGAGCAGCATTAATGAATTTGGTGTTATTATGTGTAAGATAAATACGTAAATTATGCAAAAGAATGCATCAATTCGATGGACATGTTAAGCACGTTGGTAAATATTAATGAAGTGCCCCGAGTGTTATTTATTGAGCGCAGCAAATGGTTTCAGCTCGATTTTAAGTCCACTTTAATCTCCATAACAATAACTCAGCGTAACTTAAGAAATCAGGCCATTAAATGTGCTTTTAATTAAATTACTGGGCAAATCATAAGTAAAAAGGCCAAACAGCAATTGAGGTTGAGTTACCAAAAGATATAAAAACTATATATAGCAAATGGCTGGTTGAGCAATAAACCATATATTGCCCACATATCACATATATATGACAGGTAACTAGTTGTACCAAAAATAAAAATGACTTAAAAGTTGGATGGAAGGTCGAAAGCTGATGAGTGCTAAGTGACCGCAGCCTCTAAAATTCAAAGTTCAATTTAGCTAGAAGTGTATAAGTTGATAGAAACAAATGCTCAAGTCCAAAGTTATCAACGAAGCGGGGATTTTGTCTATTAGATAAAATTATCAAAATGTTTGATCCGAAATTTTTTGTCGAGACATGTCTGGCATTCACCTGGAACTCGTTTCGATATGGACCGGTCAGCTCAACCAGTTTATCTGCACTGACTGAAATCGTAAAACACTTTAAGTAGAACTTCGCATACTTATCATGCCGTTGATTAGCACATCAGTTGATTCACAAGTGATATTATTATTATCATTATTTGTTCATTCCAACATATTGATGTCACGCTTAATAATATACGAATGATATAAATGATGCTTACTATTTTGAGGTAACATCTCTCCATAGATCTAATTATCTTAGCTTTAACTATGTGAGTTGCGATTTTTAAGTTATACATTTCTTCCGCATGCTTCCGCAATTACTAAAGAATTCTTGATTTATGTTGGCTAAAGCTTTTTTTTTTTAATTTATGCCATTATACCTTCCTTATCATAAATATTGTTAAGCATTTGCTTTTGATATTTCCACACAAAGCATAAAAAGATGTATTCTATTTAGAACACATGAGCATGAAGCTGCCACTTTGTATACAAATAAATCATTTTAATGCAATACTTTGTCAATTCTTTGTGACCTGTTCGAGCAGATTGAACGATTATAAATAGAGCACTAAACATTTTTTAATTAAAGTCATTTAAAAAGACTTAGATATAACTCAAATCTATCAAGTATTTAAAAAAAAAAATGGCGCGTAAATAAGGGCTAAAATGAATGACACTTACATACAGCACTCGAGCCACATGAAGGGTAACGAATCATATTACCTGTTTTTCCCTTTCCCCTTGCCTACACTCTCCCTTTCTGACTTTAATTAAGAGGCAGAAAGCAAAAAGCGGTGCAATCAACTGCAAACATAAACGTAAACAATCGCCAGTGCGCAGGACCTGCACTGGGCTCTCGGAAAGCGTTATAGAAAAGCTTTCGCTTTTTTCGCTGTTCCCAAAATGTATGTTGGAAAGCTTTAAATGAGCATTCAGTCAATTGCGGCCAATTTGAGTGAGCGCTACGTACTTGGAAAATTACGTCTGATATTTATACGCAATTGAGTGCGTAACCTAACGAAATAGTTTGTCTATTGTACGAGCTGTTACGCTTCAAGGCGTTACATGCCACGTCGACGTGGCTAATTAAAGGCAATGCCAAGCCACAAGTGATACAAAAGCAAACACAATAATTATTCTAAGCACTAAATAAAAGCCTACAATGCAATGACCGAAATAAAAATATGCAATTAACATTAAATGCCAAGAAGAAATAAAATTCAAAACATAGACTGCTGGTTGTTGGCAGGAAGCCAGAAAACTTAGCCAAAAGCTAACAAAAGTCTGCCAAAAAACAGCCCAGAAGAGCCGAACAATGTCGAGCGCCAGGTAAGCCTACCAACCAACGACAACAACCAACCACCCACCAAACCCAAACAGATTGCTCATGTTGTAGCCAACAGTTTATATGCAATGCATTCATGGTCAAACCTCTTAGCCAGCATGCATATAACGTTGATATTATGATCTGGCCACATGCCACATGATATATGTGTATTTGTCGTGTAATCAATAAATTGATTTTTGATTGTTGGATTGCTGAACTGGATTTTCCCCAAACAACCCATATTCCCACCCACTTGCCCACTTGCTGACTGTGCAGCCTTTGTTTTTATCTATTTTACTATTTTCTATATTTTTTCTTCTTTTTTTGTTGTTGCCATTTTTCATGTGTCGGCGTCGCACTGACTGGCGCTGCTTCTGTCTCGTTGTGCTCTTGTGTTTTGTTGTTTTCGCCACTCATTTATTTAACTTTTGTATGCTCTACACATTTAGTTGCGACCAGCAGTGCGTATGTGTAATGTCCAGTAACTAACTTAATATGCATTCTGAAGAAAAAAATATTTTTAAATATTTATAAATTTTTATATATTTATATTTAGATAGGAATTTTTGAGGATGCTGATGAATTTTATATAATTTTTGACTACACATAATTATTGAATTCCGATTTTCAATTTGTATCTTTATCATTTTTTGTGTTTTATTCGAAATCTAAAATTATAATAAAGCTCAGATTTGACTCAATTATTAACTTTAACATAAGAGCCTCTCTCCTTAAGTTCATTAAAAAACACATACTCCTAAGTATAAAAAATGTAAGTGTAGTAAATTGAGTTTACTTTTACCAAAAGGAAAACAAAAATTAATAATAATTATTATATTACAAGCTAGCGTTTGTAGGTAACATATAGTCGTTGAGCTTGAAGCTTATTTTTGGCGATTTGTTATGTCGGTGGCAAGTCACGCACTTTGCGAATCTAAACAGCTAAACCAACAGCAGACAGACAAGACTCTGATATTTATGAAAAAACAGAGAGGAAGGATGTGTTCTATTTACATATTAATATTATATTTTTGTGTTTGAGGTAGAATATCAACCTGCTGTGAAAGAGTGAAGAGAGAATTATAAATGTGCATAAAAACATTCTTATGAATATCAAGGATGTTGGTGAATATAAAGCACTACATAAGCTAAACATAGAATAGAACTATTGTTAATTCAGTCGGTTAGCAAACTCAAATAATTGGGCCACTTAGCTCTGACGCCATCAAAAAGTTAACAAGCTGCCTCAGGCTGGAAAGACAATTGCCATGTAATTAAGGATAATTGAGCGTCTAAAATATGCAGGAATCGTGCATACAATTACAATAAGCAGCAAATTGGCCAAAAGGCGCAAGGCAAACATTTCTTGTGGATTTGAATTACAAAACAGGATACAGTGCAGTAAGGACACACAGCTAAACGAGCGAATTTTACATGAGTCACGAGAAGCAAACAGAACAGAAACCGATTGAAAACCACAGAGTAGACAGCTCTTCCGGTTGGCGCCAATAAATGTCCGGTTTGAACTTAATTGTGTGTGGGCTGGTAACCCAACATTTAATTAAGCTTTAATTATATATTATATTTGCCAGACGACCTGATTTATGACCAGATTTGTGTTTTATATTCTTACAGCTTGCTTGACGCGCTCTGCTGCGGCAGCGGCGCTCGCCTGGCGTTGGGCACCTCAGTGATTGCCTACTTGATAGCTTTCAATGAGGCTGCCGCACCGGGTCTAATATTTGCCACACTACTTGCCACAATCTATGGCGCCATAGCAGGTGAGTAGATATTACCTGATATGCAATGCTTTCCTTAACGAGTCCTTAAAAGGAGGTGTGAAAAACCACACAGGCAAAAAACAGATAAATCTTTTTTAAATTTGTTAATAAGTATTAATGGATAATTAAACAATCCTTTATCTACGTATAACTAATTACGTTAATAACATTTTGGACATGGTTTATCCAGTAGAATAGTTCATTATCTTAATTTTTTTTAATATTGTGTTAAAAATTAAATAAAAGTAATAATTACTTATAATTTTAATGCACTTACAGCTCGCTGCAAGTCGAGTCTGCGTAGCCTGCAAATGCCTTATGTGCGTGCCACAAATAAATTTGACTTTGGCTGCCTCTTCTTGGCCACCTGGATGGATGCACTGGCAGCCATGTGCGCCTGTGCCGCACTCTCTCGCACCCTGAGCGCCTGTCTGGATGCCATGACTGGTGGCCTGGCCCGTATTCTTATACTGGGTGCGTGACCAATATTGCTGCCACGACTGTACTGATTTTAATTATATTTGTTGCTCACTTTTAGGCCGCAATTCACCGGCAAATGAGCCCTGGCCGGATGTGCTTGGTGTTGCCGTTGTCTTCTTGGTAACTGGAATGTTTATGTTAGGTCTCGAGGTTCGTACTTTGCACTTTTATTCAGATTCACACTTAATTCAAAGTTCTTGTGAATAGTTTTATGCATTTAATGTTTTCATTTGTATTTAAGCACACAGGTAAATGTTATGTTGAACATTTTTAATTATATGCGAATCATGTATATCCTTATATTTGTGGCAGTTCTCTTTAAACAATAGAAATAAAAATGTTCAAATTAAATCTGATCTTTTTTGCAGCACTCGAAGGCTTTCAGTTTCATCATGACACTTGGCATGTTCGGGCTAAATGCAATTCTCAGCGCAGTTGGTTGGTGGCGTGGCGACTTTGTGGCCTGGTCGGACAACTACTTTCAGCCAAATGGCATTAGCAGCGTAAGTGGTTCATCCGCTTTCCCCCACTCATTCCCTCTTTACCCCTTTCAGTTAGTGTGCTGATGGGCGTGGTTTTAGGTCAGTGCACTATGCGCTTTTTCTTTCATTTTTTTGTCTTTTTTTTATCGATTTTTTGGCGCATTACTGGCAACGGCTGTCGTGACTACCGACAATTGAAGCCACAGGATGTGAGCTTTTGATTATGACACGTGGAGCCAACTTTTTTGTTATGGATTCTATGTGCCACAGCGTTGATTTCTGTTTCCAATGTAACGCATTGGTTGCGTTTCGCTAGACAACTCTTCCCATGCCGACTTCTGCTATAAAATTGCCTTCTATTTTTGCATTTTGGTTTGAAATTTATTAACTCAGTTTTGTTTTGTAGAAATAACAGATGTACTGTGTAGAAAACTGAGTTGCTATTCGAACTGAACAAGGTCTTAAAGTTATCTGCATCGTGTTTCTAATGCTATCATTGATGAGGTTTATTAAGATATTTCGAGAAGAAGTTGTAGTCAGTTACTCTTTGAAAGATAGGATATAAGATATAAGATATACCACTATCTGTGGCAAATTTATAATTTCTTGTTTGTCTATCGTTACAGTTCCTTTTGACGACCGCATTGCTTACCTATGCCTTTCCCAGTGTCTGGTCTCAGCAGCATCGCAGTGGTAGAATCACGGCGGTACTTGTGATTGCACTGGTGATGATCTCACTCCTGCTCACCTCCATCTGTCTCTCGACAGTGGTGCATTTCAAGTGGGTAGCCTCAACAGTAACTAATTAAACACGATAATCGAACAGCTCTAATCAAATAGATCACGGGAAGAATATGTGGCCGTACCACTTTTCAATATACTGGATGAGAGTGGATTTCATAAGTTGGTGCCTGCCTCCGCTTGTATGTTGCTGTTGACCAGCTCGGCAGCGTTTCTGGAAATCTTTCCCGAGCTGTATGGCATTGTGGTGCGTCTGGCCACCTCCGAGTGGCGCATTCTAAGCAAACAAATCAGCTATGAGAGCTCCGACAGTGGCAATCCCGTTCTTGCCGTCTTCATTGCGGGCAGCCTGTGTGCCATGTTGGCCTTTGCGTGTCCGCTGCAGCATCTCAGCTACTGTCTGGCAGCTAGTCACATAACTGGCGCCCTTCTGCGTGCCTTCTACTTGCTATATGTGCCATACCGTCCCAAATTCATGCAGCCCAGCAGCAGTGAGTCATCGTTGTCCTACAGTCGCCTCTCCACAGCGCCCATTGCCAAGAGCAGCAGCAGCTGCAGCGCTGCCACATCTACATCCAGTCGCATGAAGCGCACTCTCTGGCACATTGGCTTGTCCAAGCAGAGTGGCCTAAAGAAAAAGCCGAAGAACAAATCAAGAACTAAGCCCGAGGTGGAAAAGGAATGGCTCCTGCTAGGCGAACCCACATCTCCACTGGCGCAACGCGAAGGCAGAGATGTCGAGTCCACCATTCTGTCAGACAGCGAGCCACCGGTGAGTGTTCTAGGGAACAGAAACCCCAAAAACTTATATTTTTGATTTCTGCAGATGGCATTCGAAGCCTTTTGCATCTGCATTTCATTTTTAATTAATGTCAATCTTGTTGTTTGATTACTGTAGCCATCTGATTTTGAGTATCCCGATAAGTTTGACAAAAGCGATTCGGATACCTCAACGGACATTGATGCCATAGTCGATGAGTATCGTCAGAAGATAAAGGTAACTGGACTATAAATATTTGCTTTCCCATTTCATAAAACTCAGTAAGACTCTGCTTTGATTCAGGTCACCACAGCTGGTCCGCTGGAGCGCAGTGTGCGAGTGCCGACACTCAGCTCATGGAGGGTGACAATATTTTCAATTGTCGTCATCGGATTGGGGATAGCGCTGTGTGTGGCTGGTCTGGTGTTGCGTTGGGCACCCGCTGCGTTCACTGGCGCCATTGGAGTCTTGATTGTGGCCATGATGATGGGCGTTATACCGCAGTACACCGGCAGCGTCATCAATGTGAGTCCCGTGCTGTGCGGAATGTGCCTGCTGCTCAGCGTTGTCCTCTTCTCAGCCTGTGCGGTCTACTCGTGGCCGGGTGTGCTCCTCTGGCTGCTGGGTGGCCTCGCTTTGCTGATACGATGTGATAAATATTGCTGCAGCTGCTTCGATCAGACAACCATATTGAATGCCCAGCTGATTCCCAGTGTTTCCGGCAAGGCATCAAGCTCAACGTCAGCGACAATGGGTGCATCCACAAGCATTAGGATGCCCCGGCCCCCGAAGGGTGTGATTAGTCTGCCGCATCGGGTCAGCGGCATTAGATGACAGTCGGAGTCCTCCGAGGAGGAGGGCGAGGAACTCTTTCATGAGGACTTCAATGTGCGCGACTTTGATGACGACGATGCTAATGAGGATTGCTGGACTGATTAGCTAGCAGTCAATGTGTGAGGTCTTTTAAATGTAGCTAGCCTTTTAACAATTGCAATGCGGATCTTAGCCCAAAGAGTCCAGCTTGAAGTTAGTATTATACAACTATATATATTTATATAACAATATGTATGCCATCAAAACTAGTTAGTTTATACCTATGACGAAATCTATTTGCTGTTAGTTCCAACTATTAGGTCATTTAATAAATATTGTATGTCCCAAAAAATACAATTATTATTTTAATTTCTTGATGTATATCAGAGGATTTTATTGAGGCGTGTATATATTATTGTGATCCATGAGATAATCAACTAGTTCCTCAATTGGCGCCATTATTTTTTTCTCATAATTAGGCTGCAATTCGATGACCCTCAGATACATTTCAGTTCGGTCAACATTTAGATAATAGTCAAATTTCTCGGGCTCCTCGGCACGCATCTTATTGGCCAAACTTGCTGACATTTTTGTCTGTGGTTCGGTTATGGCCTTCATTACCAATGCGGCTAAGCGAGTGCGTTGACAGTCCTCCAAAAAATTCTCTTTTGTAATCAGATTTGTCGGCACCTGAAGTCGAACAAATTCCGATTGAAGACAATCGTAATAATGCTCCAGGCATTGTTCATAAATAGCAAGTCTATCACTTGATGACGCTACTATATAGAGCACAAATAGAACATCTAATGTCGGTGAGCAATACTTAGTCAACTGGAAGTCCACAATACAGCACGAGTTGGGTACTTTGGCACTCTGACTAGGGAAACCAAAAAGTATATTGCGATCCCAACTGTCGCGATGACACAGCACATTCTTTATGGTCTTCGAGGGCTTAACCATCTCTTTCGTTTTGATCAGGAGCTGATAAAGTTTATCCTTAATGAAAGCTTGAGCGGATTCCGTTTGGTATTTGTCATGTCGTGCCGCCAAGAAAACGATACCCTGTTGACGATGTATAGTTAAGGAAAAGTATATTTATATAGCATTTTTTCTGGGTGTTCGAACCTTTAAGCCTGTGGTAAACCACTCATTTTGCGTGTCCAGCATTAGTTCGATGTTGACCGCCTTGTAGCGATCGCCAATATTAAATTGATCAGCATGCTCCCATGCAATGCTCGCCGCATGTAGAGCAGCCAAATGCTCCAACACCAACTTGTAATGCTCTAGGGTATAACCCTCCATTGGTTTAAGGTGGCGATAACTAAGCGTAAGATCCTCCAGCACAATTACATCATCTCGACTGTAGTAGCATTGCGGAAAGAGCTTGCGGCTTCCTAAAGAAGATAAATTAGGTTATTTCAGAGTACTTACGAATACAAATATATCTATAAAGTATGGAAGTAATTCAATATAATATCATTATAAAATGTACCTACCATATCTCTGCACATTGGGCAATATTTGACTATAGATGGTTGATTCCTTGAGAAAAACTCCTTTGCGTTCGCATTCAGCTCTCTGCGGCGCATTTTTATAGGGTAAACTTTTAACAAAGTATTGCAAATGATGCTTCGTTTTTGTCTCTGTATTTTCGACGTCCAAAAGCAGCTTGTAGTATTCACCCATGTAGCCCTGTAAATCATTGGAGCCCGCATCGAGTTGCCGATTTATTATAACCAAATTTTCCTTTTCAATTTGCGGCTGTAGCGTACGTAACGCTATCAGATGACATTCCTCAGAGCTAAGCAGTTCCATTGATGCTGACAGTTAGATGTATACTGAAGAGAACTAAGTAACACGATCTTGTAGCTCGCAAAAGATATCAGATACAATCAAAGAATTCGCAAAGTAATCATAAAAAAAACGTTTTATCTATGTACAATCCCAACAATCTCAGCTCTTTTATATACAATTTTTGCGATAAGATAATCTTTGAGTAAAATAACTAAAAGTGATAAGCTTCTGTTACTAGGTAGCATTGAGATTACACAGAAAAACAAAGTCACTATTACATTTTATGTTAAATGTTGTATTTCAGTTCTCTATATATGTTTTTAGACTGTATGCTTTCACATATAAAATATTTTAAATTTGAGAGAATATTTGGCTAAGCATAAATCTCTATAAATATTTCATCATATTAAAAAAAAATTAGTCTCATTAAAAAAGTACAAATGCTGAATCTTAATACAAAGACATTTCATTTCAGTTCAAAGATAAGGCCGTTTTATTCGGCTTGTTTATAGTATGTCAGTTCCAATAAATCATCTACACAGGCATATAAATAACGTCGGAAGTCCCCATGTTCGTCCATTAAACTTAAAACACTTTTGGTGCGATCCACATTGCAGAAACTATGAAACTCTCCCGCCTGTTCATCCTTCAGTTTCTTCAGATAGTTATCGGGCAATCTGAGTATGGTGGCTGCAATGCAATTATATGTGGCACCAAAAAGCGAAAAGTCCTTCAACGATTGCTCAAAATCAGAGCGACTAAGCTGCTCGCGTTCTGCATCAACTCCCATGGCCACCAGCTCCGACACCAGGTGCTCATAGTAGTCAGATGTAATCCGCTCCATCATTTCTTTGCGTTGCGCTGGCTCCACATTCAGATAGCTGGCCATTAGGAAGTCCACAGCTGGCGGCGCATAGCGACACAGCTGAAAGTCAACCAGCACACAGCCCACATTCTCGGACTGTTCCTTGGGATAGAAGACATTGCCACCCCACGCGTCACGATGTAGAAATACGTTGCGATGCACAGGTGATGGATTTGCCATATAGTAGACCCGATCTAGGCAACGTGGCAGCTCATTTGCTATATACGCCTGAGCAGCTGCATCATTGATCACTCGAGGATGTGTAGCAGTCACAGCCAGAATAGCCTGAAAAGCACAAAAATTCTCTTCAATCAACAACAATTTCAGGCAGCCAAATCGAAAACGAACCTTTATGCCCGTCGTCCACCATTCGATATCGGGATCAATTGACTTCTCCAGCAGCCACTGTCTAAATTCCACTCCGATTGTCACCCGATGCTTTCGCTCATAAGCCACGCTGCTGGCATGCAGGGTAGCCAGTGCCCTCAGCATCGGTCGTAGCTGTTCCTCGCTTAGAAATTTCGTTTCTGAGGGCAGTGATCTGTAGCCCAAATCTTCAATATTTTGCATTACGAACAGATCGTCCCGGGTGAAATAGCACTTGGCACACCACACATGAGCAGCTATTTAACATTAATATATTCAAGTATATAAAATGAATGAATGAATGAATGAAAATAAAAATATATAGCTTCATCTTTGTTATCAAGATTTGTGTACTAATTATAACAATGCCAGTTCTCTCTTTAGTTTACCCTCACTTACAGAACTTTTTCAGCTCATTGAGCAGCAATTCATACAGTCTGGCCTCCTTTTTAATAATGCCCGACTTTTCGTCGTAGTAGGACATGTCCGCATTCTCGTATACCATCGATTTGACAAAGAGACGTGTTGTGCGTTCCTCTGTTTCATTTTCCAATCGATAGCTGAGCACGAGGTGATAATATTCACCTAGAAAACCCACATGCTCAATGGCCGGCAAAATTTGGAACTTGTTAAGGATTCCCATTTGATTGTGATCTTTGAGCACAGCTTTTAATATCTGCTCGCATTCATCAATTGAAAACAGTTCGAAACGATTGGTTCGCGTCAACACCGGTTTATAATCTTGTTTACTCATGATATTAACGATTCAATAGTAAATCTTATTAAATGACTTATGTGCACCGCCCGCAGCGAAAAAATAACAAACGTACTCTGCGAGAGACAATATCAAACTATTGTATTTACAATTTCGAGCCTTTTCTTATAAGAACTCGTTGTTCGCTCTACCCTTACTTAAAAAAAGTATACACAACTTGTTGTCTAGTTAGATGGCAAATAGTTTCAATAGTTATTGAATTGAATGCGTTGTTAATAAACCAGATTCTATAAAAAAAGTATTTGTTGTTTATCGTATTTAATTTTAATTTTTAATATCAAAACAACCTATTTGGCATGCGATCATTTGGCTATCTTACGTTTTATTTTAAACCATATACATATGTATTTCGTTTGGTTTTCAATACAAACTTTCATTAATTTAAGCAAATTATAGTTATTCAATGTAGTGCATTAAAATGTCGGTGCGCTATTTATTTCATATATATGATTTATGTGCACAGCTTATCGCTCGCATTGCTTTACAGAGTAGTGAATTCTATCTTATCGGTGTGTGGGAGAGAGTGAGGGTAATGTCACTTGACAAGAGCAATTTCTATGACTTCCAAGCAGCACTTTTCCATGACGTCTCTAAACTCTTGATTCTCTCTCATATAATCGAGAATGACAGCACTCCGATCCACATATTTGAATGCGTTCGTAACAAATTCTCTGGGAACTTTGATAACGGTAGCTACCAAGGCATTGTATAGAGCTCCAAAAAGCCGAAATTCTTCGTAGGATTGCAACAGTTCCGATTTGGGTATCAGTTCAGCGGACTCCAAGCCAAAGTCCTGTAAGTCCTTTTGCAGACATTTATAATATAAATCAATGCAATTAACTTCCACTCGTCGTCGCTCTGCACTTGTCAGATTCAAATAGAGGCTGAAACATAAGTCGACAGCTGGTGGCGAGTAGCGACAGGTCTGGAAATCAATCAGTAACGCCGCATCTTTGTGATCAGCAGGAAAGAAAACATTGGCCGCCCATAGATCACGATGGCAGACAACATTCCTATATTTGCTGGAGGGTGAAATCTGCTCATAAACCCTCTGCACGGCATCAGCCAGCTGAGAGTCCATGCTTGGTTGGTACTGAGGCAGTGTTTTTATTACGGCCAAGATAGCTGAGATTCCTGTTGTATACCAGTCTATATTTGGAGCCACTGTTATCTCATACAAGTATTCACCAAATTGTTTTCCAATATTTATACCCTCTCGCTGCTCATAGACCAAACTGGCTGCATGGAAAGCCGCCAGGGCTCGCAACAATTGATGCATCTGATTCATGCTTAACATCGTATTTCCTGCCCCACAATAGCCAATGAGTTTCATGTTCTCGAGCACAATCAGGTCGGAGCGCGTATAAAATGATTTGGGGCTCCATGTGATCCTTGCTGTGAAATGGCATTAAAACTATTAGCAGCTTAAATTTTGCATATGTTTTTGATATTACACACAATATTTTTGCATCTCATTTAGTAGTGTCTCGTACAACAATGCCTCCTTCCGAAAAATAGACTCTTTTTCAGCCTCATCGCTTTGCTGTTGCAGCGCCTTGACAAAAACTCGTTCAACTTGAGTTTTTGAAGCTGTCTGAAAGTATGCAAGCATATTTTTTGATTATATTTTTAGATAAATGCGATAAAGTAAAATAATCTTACAACGGTTCAATAAATATGATAAGATAATGAAATTACCCAAATTATTAATATTTATAAATACTTCTTTGGATTTTCAAATACTTTGTATGACGTTATCCTAAAGAGTTTATTTTCTTTCAAAGGTTTAATAATAATAATTACTTAGTTTATTGTCTAAAGGAAAGTAACGAACATTTAAAGCTGAACAATTTATATTTTGTTGAACAATATGTACACATACACAGATAACTAATTATAATAATATGGCAAAGGCCATAAGACATTTAATTTATCATTTCATGATCATTCAGTTCGATCTGTCACTGCGAAAATAATCTAGTTAAACTTACAGTGCAGTAAATTAAAGTCAACGTATAATATTCGCCCAGATAACCAACGGCTTCTTTGTCCCTCTCCAGTTCATAATCTACGAGATGCAATCTTTCGTTTTCGACATTTAATAACTTACTTAGGATTTGCAAACATTCCCCGCGCGTTAAGAGCATATTTCGTATACTCTGTATGACGTATACGCACTGTGAGTGACTTTATCGTATTCCGTCTTTGTCTCTTTCTCTTTTTAGAATTTTCTTCGTACGTTTTTCTCACTACAATTTTTCAGTGCGTTAGCGCTGCCGAACGCGATTAAACTGAGCCAAAATTAAAATTTCCGAGACTCTGAGAATTGTTCGGTTGGTTCGTGGCATACAGCTGACTGTCGTTGGGAGTGTGCCAAATATAGCATGGTATATAGGATAAGACCATTAAACCTAAAAACTGTTGATTTCAGTATTTCAGTATTTCACAGACGATTTATAGGTAGCAATTAAGATTAAGTCAAAATTATTTGCGATTGTGCGAACTGTGCAAATAATTTATCCTGAAAACTAAATTCTACTTTTATTTTTCGAAAGCGAAGCAATAAAATTTATTTATTATAATTTTATTATTTTTTTTTTGATACACGAATTAAAAAATTTGTTAATTTAGCGAAATTAAAAAATAATAATTTTTTCAATTAGTTTGTGTTAATAAAACATCGATTTTAGTTTTCGATTTTAAGCTGACTGAGTCTCTTCAGGCGTTGTTTCTCGTGCATGTAGGTGGTATAGGGTCGTATGGTCATGTAGTATATGATCTCCACAAAACTCAGCAAGCTGGCGCCCACAAACAGAACCGTTGTGCCACCAATGGATACTATAAAGCAAATGTACTTGATTATCTAGTTACACGGTTGACAAATATACATTTTCAAGTCCCACTTACCTACGAGATCCAATTTGCCTCTTACCAAGTTACGCTTGTAACGTTCCGTTGGCAGATCAATGAGTGCCACTTCTATTTTAGAGATTGGATTCTGGTGTCCATAAATGTTATCCTTGCTGTCAAAGACGGTTGTGATGTCCACCTCCGTACAGGAGGGCAGGCAATCGCAGACGAGTCCTTTGCGGCCACGTCGACGTGACCATTTGGCAATGATCACGGAGAGATCCTCGTAATTGCGATTTAGACACTCCAATCCATCCATGTTACATAGCTGCCAGTCGGGTGAGTTAGGTGTCAGATGGCTAGAGCAATTGCACAACTCCATTTGCCTATCCTTGCGGCACTGCACCGTACAGGCGCTGTAACTATAATAGTGATGCACATCCAGAATATTCTCATCCGGAAAACGACAGTTGCGCTGTTGGACGCTCGTCTGCCGGATCTCCTCATCGTTCTCAATATCACGCTTGGATACAAATCGACTGATCGATAAATGTACAACTATAACAAGTATATCGGGTATCATGGAACTAAAAGTACTTACACAAACGATATGTAGGGACCCACAACGAAAAAATCAGTTTTTGGTGTTACCAAAGTGGGCACCTCCTCAGTACCCAGAATGAAAACCTTTCCAGCGTGAATATTAAGTAGCTATCCTACTTTATATGTATATTGAAATTTAGCTCACTTACCGTTGCCTCTGTGTGTAGCTCCATTGTCAAAGATCCAGGACCCGTATAGCGATTGGAGTACATATTCAATTTTGGACCTTTGTGCTTTCTGTATAAATTGAAAATATTTAAAACACCAATGATTAATGTTAATTCTGATTGCTTAACTAACCCCGCCTGCATTGAGTTGATGGCATAGCATATTCCCAGTTCCGTTTCCATGCGTTGAAAATATCTGCAGCAGTCAAAGGGTGATTTATTCCACTGACAGCTCTTAATGGAGTCCACACAGCTGCTCCTAACCAGCTGGGCGTAATACGAGAAATTCGAGTAGAAACATGAAGCTGTGGATTCCTCCCCGCTGCACTCGTGCACAGTGTGATAGGACTCGCCACGAAAGAAGGCAATCTCGCTGAGTACTTCCTCCAAGGTAAAATCATGATCGGCTCCCCAGAGCCTAAAATATATCAAAATCAGATAGCGATAAGATGATACATATGTAAATGCATACTTACTGTTCGGCTACTTCCTGTATGCGATCCATATTCTTCGATTCACAAACTATAATGGCCGGGAAATTGGAATCCCAATCACGATAAGAACTCTCCACCACAAAGCTAATCGCGTTGTTCTCAAAAGCAGCTTGTCAATTTAGATAACAAATGAGCAGTCCTCCAAACAAACAAAAAAACGATACTCCATTCTTGAATTCTTAAACTTACCCAACGATGCTTTGATAAGCAACCAGGAGGCATACCATGAGACGATCAAACAAATGATCCAAAATATGCGCTCCAACCAGCTGGCATCTTCATCTACTATAAAGCGTGCCCCATGCAACGTGGAATTCTTCAAATATTCCTCAACGCTTCCTCGCAAGCGCATAATGTTATTATTTGCTTAAGCTCCATTCAGTAACTGAATTGTATGTCATAATAACCAATAGTTAAATAGTTCATGATTTTTACCAAACCATCTCGATAATGTTGTGGTACAGCTGTTAATTTTCCCAGTAATTCAGACACGCGGCAAGCGCACTTCGCAGCTGTTAGACAAAATTTATCAAGAGATCAACTAAATTGCCAACTAAATTGTCTGTGGTCATAATTATCTGATGAATTAGTTGTATTTGCCACAAGTCAACAATATAACTAGTTTACTATACCACATAATAAAACGGGCATGTGTTTTACGAGAGCCCCTCTAATCCACACGACAATATTTAACTAGACGGTTACGTTGTATTAAGTATTAAGTAGTAGTAGTAACAATGTTCACATGACAACCGCTATTTCATAAGTACAATAAAAAGATGACAATAATAATAACTACTTACAATAAATATAAATACTTATGACAATTTATTATATTAATTTCTTTGCCTGAATATCGTACAGTGGTTTGCTTTTTATAAATATAAAAAAACATTTTTCTGTTTAAATTCTGTTTGATTAAACATTAACTCACGACTGAAACGTAAATAGTATTTTATAAGGACTCTTTATAAAATGTTATCTATGGATTAAAAATTCGTTGACCGTCGCATGAATGAAGCATTCGTTGCTCGCTTGCTTTGATTTACTTAAAAAGCAAAAGGTATTTTTCCGGTTATTAAACTAAAGACTAAATCGTAAATTGTATCGTGTAAGCAGGTTTTCTGAGTTGTTCTGTTTTATTAAAACAAAACACATTTATCTTGCCATGAATGAAGTAGCGGTCATTGCATGACTATACCCTTTCTTACGCTTAATATTGTTGTTGATAAATAAAAGTAAAATAAAATAAAATAAATTTAAATCATAAATGAAGCCATTATAAGATCCACCAAATGTGCTTACAGATGCTTATTTCTCAACACTAAAATTACTAAAATACTCATTATCTGCATGAATACTTCATGATATATGTATTGGGATTGGCGCAAATTATTTGCATTGCGATTGATTATTGATATTTTCAGGGGTATCTTGATCGGCTCAGTTTGAAATTGTCACCATCGCATTCATTACACATCGATCATTCATACTGAAGAGTATTCAATATTCGACAGCCCTAAAGAAGATTCCCACTTTTGTCTAAATTATTATAGGATGGCTTTCAGGTATATTTACATAATATTCTGGCGCTAAGATATAAAGTAAGAGCCACCCCCAACGAGACGAATCAGTTGGAATCAGAATGGCAACGGCATTAGAGTTGAGCAACACCGAGATACGTGGCATGTGCCAGAGTTATCTGCATCAGAATGATCTGACTGCCAACTTTGAAATTATCAGCTATCAGTTGCAGCCGGTGTCAGAGGCGCCAGCCGGATTTCTAGGCAGTCACTTCTATCTGCAGGTTATATTGCGTCTACAGGAAACGGGAGAGTTGAAACAATTGCGCTTATTCTGCAAATCGGCGCCGGTGGGGAATGTATCCCATATGGAATATGTCGAGGATTTTTCCGTGTTTCAAAAGGAGATTTCCGTCTATCAGCATGTGCTGCCGGACGTGCAGGCAGCCTGCACAGAGATCGCACCCAAATGCTACTATGCGGATAAGAATCTGTTGGTCTTTGAGAATCTCATAGATCAGGGTTATCGCATGGGCGCTGATCGTGATGGTCTTTTAAATTATGAGCAGCTGCACTGCTGTCTGAAGACGTTGGCCGCTATGCACGCAGGATCTATTATAAAAGATCACAAAAAAAAACCGCAAATCCCTTTGGAGGAGAACGCATATCCATCGAATGTGCCGCCCGAGAATCTGCGTCTGGTCAACTTTAATCAAGCCTGTGAGGTGCTCAAGGAGTTTATAAAGATGATGCCCAAATATCAGAGCCAGCTGGATTACATATTGGCCAACTTTACCCAACGCATGTCAAGCATCTTTGAGCTGGTCAAAACTTCGAAGACTCGACTGAATGTACTTCTGCATGGTGATCTCTGGGCTAACAATATACTCTTCCAGTATGGCAAGTATGGCGAAAATCCGCTCCAATGTCGCTTCGTAGACTTCCAGTTGGCCAGGTATGCCGCGCCTGTCATAGATCTGATCACAGTGCTCACCATACCCACAACAAGCCAATTTCGGGAAGCTCATCTCAGTGAATTACTGGCGGAATATTATCGCTTTATGACCGAGTTTCTGAAACGTGCCGGCTTAAATATATCTGATTTCATGACTGAGGCTGAATACTATGACTCAGTGGAAGAGTATCGCATTGTTGGGCTCATAGAGAGCTGCCTTTTCTGTCATCTCGTCATCATGCCAACTACATGCACCCAGGATCTAACAGGCACTGCTGATGGCTTCAGCGATTTCTTCAGTCGCAAACGCATTGACATCTGCCTGAAAGCCTTCAACACCGATGAAATATACAGGAGTCGCATGCAGGACATGCTAGAGGACTTTATCGATCATTTTATATTACAATCATCGTAAATAAAAAAATATACTAAAAATAAAACCAAAAAATTTCAAGTCTACCATTTAATGTAATCTGCTGCTGTTTGACATAGCTTTCGAGGCTTCGTTAAGGTTTCGTTGAGTTTTTCGGTTTTGGTTTAGTGATTCAAAAACTTTAAAGCTGCCTTCAACCGGCTCTTTGGTGATGTCGCTGTTAGCTCGTAGCGTACAATTCAGTTGCCAACTGGCCGCGTTTATTTCAACAACATATTGCGGCTTTAAGTCAACGCTAATTAATCGAGAAACCTAACGGCTTTTGTGCTCGACAGGATTACGCTGCAAAAAAAAAAATTAAATTAAAAATAATAATAATACTAATCATACGGAGAAATACGCGTGAAATTATCAAATCAAAAAATAATTAATAACAATAAAACGAAAATGTGAGTTTTGCATGCTATTAATAAGTGAAATTGAAATTATATGTGAGCATAAAAAATTAATTAATTCTCTTTTTTAATTGTAAAGCACTAACTGACATTATGGGAAGTACATAAATTAACTGTTGATTTTTTAAATCTCATCTAGCGTCCACACAATGGAACCTTGCCAAATTCCCCCACATAAATTTTTGTGACCCATTCACCAAAAAGTTTGCCAACACTTAATAAAATTCAAAATATTTGCGTTTGTCCGCCAAAAGCAAAGCAGTTGCAAGCAACTGAAACAAAAACAACAACAAACATAGAGCAGCTGAAGGCGCAATGCAAATAACCATAAACAATTTGACCTACCACAATATAAACAACAACAACAACACAAACATTGGCCAAGTCTGAAAAACAGACAAACAATCACAGTTGACAGTTGCTCACGGCAAATAATTCAATTTAACGGTCAGGTTTTTTTCATAACAATTGCACAAAATGTTCAAAAAACAAAACAAAAAACAAAAAAAAAACTATACCACTTTAATTAGAGTACTGTTTTATTTGTGGGCATGGCTATTATTATTGTTGACTATATTTATCGCCTATTTTAAATCAACAGCAAGAAAGAAAGCATCAATGTAATTGAAACCAATCAGAACATTGATTGACTAATAAATACCCTCTTAAGAAAAATCTTCAAACTGCTGACTAACAAAAAATTCATTTTAAGAAAAGTTAAACTCTTTTTATGAGCTTTTGAAAAATAGAAAATTAGTTCTGAAAGTATAAGTATACCAATGAAGGGTTTATCTTTAAATCTATCGATTATAAACTCTAACCATCATTTCCGTTATAATGTTTATTGTACTGGGTATAAAAAGAAAACGTTTAACAGCCTGGTAAGTTATAATGGATGTATTGCTTATATTGTCATGTCTAAGTGGCATTACCAGAAGTGAATATTAATATTGACCATAAATTGACGACAGTTTTGTCCATGATGTAATCGCTTTTATTTTTGGGCAATAATTCGTGATTTTATTAATTAATTTTGTAGGTCAGCATAGTTTGCTTAAGCATTTAGTAATGGTGTTATATAAAATGTGATAAACCAAAATAAATAAAATAATATTATTATTACATTTTTTCTGTGAAACCTTCTATCAAAAATTGTTCGTTTCCAATCCGCATTTGGCTTAAATGTGCATTTCTAAAGAAAGTGCTCTACAAGGCATAGATAACTGATTTATCCTGTATTTGTAGAATTGGTTTACCTTAAGCCAATATAGATTGATAAAATTCACCGGTATTATTTAAGTGCATATTACTTCATATTTGTCTGTACATTATTTACTAGTTCTTCAGTGCTTCATTCACAACCCATTCACAAAACTATTTATCCAAGTCGCTACTGAAGCTATGTTAATCTTTGCTTGTACTTCATGATTGTTGTCACTGACATTACTTGCTTCTCCTCCTCGTTGCATACACATACACGTGTTGTTGTTGTTGTTGTTGTTGTTGGTGCTTTTGCATTATGCAACTCAACTTGGCAAACTCTCAGTGCCCCCAAATGTGCTGGCAGTTTTTTCGGTTTTGGAAGTGTACTTTTTTTTGTGTGTCATGTGATGTGCCTCAGACTGTGACTGTGACTGTGATTGTGACTATGACTGTGACTCTGCGTCAGAGTCGGAATCGGAATCATACTTAGACTCAGTCTCCGACTTGGATACGGACTCTCTTACTGTCTGCGACTTACTTACATGTGAAAACAACGCGAGTTGCTGTTGCTGTTGTTATTTTTTTTGATTGGGTCAATGGAATCCAATTGGCGTACTCGTCCGTTGCAGTTTAGATTTTACGTTCATTCCGAAAAATTTGGGTCATGTTGGTTAATTGACAAAGATTGACGTATTGTTATACGACGTGCCCACAAATTTGTTTACACTACTCACTTGAATTTTGCATACAATGAGGAAATACAACTGGAAAATAACTGGAACTCAAAATGCATCTGCAATTTGCGCCACCTACTTAGAGGGGAGCATCCGCGAGTGAATGGTCGCAAGTGGTAGACCTTGATTTTAACTATGGCTTAAGGGCAGACTCATCAACGGCTCATTACACATTTGTTTTTTTGTTTTTGTTTTTTTGGCAATTACTTAGCTCGTAAACCTTTAAACAGTGTAAACTTTTGTTGCAGCTCTCCGTTATGCGGATGTTTTTGCTTATTTTTTTTAATAATTGTTGTTGTTTTAATTAGTCGTTGATTAACAATTGCTTAACGTGATTTTTGCATAAAAGTATGATCTAGTAATGACTTCAATTAATTACATTTCTACATTCAAATGTAAATATTTATTGCGTATCTTGATGTGTGTCTATAAAAATATGAATGACAAACATTGCAACGTGGCAACTGCCACCACACTGCCTGATTTAATGCTAATTGTAACTTTTTTTTATTATTTTATCTCACACTATTTAAGCCAAACAAAAATACAGCTTGCAAATACAACTTAAATATTTATTTTTAAAATTCTTCGTTGACTGTTTTCGTATTGACAACTTATTAAATTACTTGATAAAGACAGAGGCTAAATAAACAAAAGCACATTTAACTTATTACCAAGGCGAAACTTGCGTTAAGTAAAATTCATTTTTTCAGAAGGAATTCAAACTTAAATTGAATTTTTAGAAAATGAACTTGATGCTTTTTATTAAATGATTACTTGACCAATTAAATATTAATTAAAATTATTGGAAAATTCCATTTTGTACAACTGGTATAAGCTATAAATATAAACTATAAACTATAAATCTCAAGTGGGTATGCGATGTTGCAGCCCTGATCACGTAATCACCACATCATTGCCCTCTGCATGGTTGATGAATTGCTGAATAAAGGGCACCCAAGAAGGCTTGTGCAAAATGCAATCTGCAACATATGCCTCAAGAGGCAATATCAAGTTTAAAACTTACATCACCATACAACAGTGTGGTGCATCAAGACAAGTCGAGGCTCCACACTGCACTGCACTGCACTGCACTGCCGGTTATCCAATTAAAACCAAAGATCAGGGATAGTTTGGCTTCAACGAAAGTGGGCCGTTCACAGCTGCAGACGGGGATTTTTATTTTATTTTATTTTGTGTTATTTTCACGCACGCGACATCTAGGAAATGAGAGCCGTCTGCTAGTCGACATGACGACAACTTTTGTAGCCAGCCAGGCAAAAATAGTGTATGGTGCACATATAAATACTCGTATTGTGGCAACAACCAAGTCAGCTGACGAGTAAGTTGTCCACTGTGTCTCTCTGCAGTGAAAAGCGGTCATTTTGGTTTTTAGGCCTTTACCAGGCCTGGCTAAGCACGCGGTCGGTCGGGATGGGTTAGTGGTATGTTTTTTGGGTTGACGGGGTCTGTGTGTAAGTGTGTGTTTAAACACATGCGTGCATATGCGTGACAGGCGGAAACTTGTCGTATCATATGCACGCCACAATTATGTAATGATCATAATAATAATGCCATGCAAGTAAAGTTTTTCATTTTGCGTCGCGATCTTGTTACGCACCCATCCTTAAACATTTTATATCATCAGTGTAATTAAATGCGTTTATTATTTACATTTAGTACCACAAAGTACAAAAAAATAATAGGTAAATTGAAGGAAATACAACTTTTCATTTTACACTCTTCGCTTAAATTGCATTGCATCTTACACACAATTTAAATTAATTTATTCGTCAGGTGTCGGGACTATCGCTATATGATCTTAGCGATTATGTGCATTACTTGCGTCCAGGCACGTCCGCAGCGCAATTTGCAGCATGTTGCCGTCTTGGAGAATGCTGCCTGGGAGCAAACATTGCCGCAACAATTACAGAATCCCTTTTATAAGACGCCGCGTGTAAGGGATGCATTGGCCAGATCCAGTTGGTTTGGTCCCGGCGAGCAGGTGGTAAGTTTGTCCTTGATATTACTTTAAATCAAATGCGTTACCTTTATGTCCGTTTGTAGGTCCTTGAGCGCCAGGCGGAGAAAATACCCCGCATGGAAATCTATAATGTGCTGTCGCATGCTGGTCTCATACCGCGTCGCAAGTATTTTTAATCTAATCGAATTATTTGCAATTGCATTTCTTACATTTTGTATAAAATATCAGAGAAAACATTAAAACTACAGTCATTAATTTAAGTTTAAAAGAAATAAACAGTGTTTCAATTTTACTTAATAACTTTCAATTTCAAACAGCTGACAATACGCAATTATCTTGTTGATATAAAAATACATTTGTTTGTAAAAAATAAGTGCATTTAGTTTATATTTAATAGAGCTTTTCGCATAAAATGTACTTCAACAACTATGGTCAATATATTATGTAAGTAATTACGATAGCTGAACTGTCTGAATGCTCGATTGTTTTCTCTCATCATCTAAAATAGTCTGTAAGTCTGTAATAATTCTACATTTAAAACTCCAGGTGTACATCGAGTTGAGTGACACTCTTCAATCGAGCGTCCAGCGATAGATGCTCATCCTCCTGGCTGTTGCTCTGCTGTTCCAGTACTGTGTTCTGCTCCAGCAATGTTTTGCGCACATCTTCGCTTGCCACCTTATCATACACGACCCCATCCTCTTTGTGCTCCTCGTCTTGCTCCAAGTCGCTGTCCTCGTGAGCGATCCCATTGCCATTTAATCTACCATTGCTGAGCGTCTCTTCAATAGCTGCGTTGTGTCTGATTGTGCTCTCAGCTGGCGTTAAGAGCGATTTGACGAATTCGCCGCAGATCAGGCTCATCGCAGGCATCGTATGGGCGGACAAATTGACCAACTGTAATTGTGAAATGAATTCGAGAACATTAATTGGCAATGACCTTGACAAAGTTCACACAAAAAAAAAGGCAAGCCAAAGTGCTCAAGTCAAAAATAGCCGACTTGGTATATACCCTGTAATCAATTCTGAACTTCCATAATCAACATTTGTACTTTTTTCTTTGTGAAAAAATATATATTTCGAGTTTGAGAGATCGATACTTATCCGTCTATTTTAAGACAGACACCAATAACATAAACTTGCTCTACATTAAACATTATAATACCCATTTTTGTCATTTTTATTGGGTATGGAACTTGTTCATTTTTTTTTTGCGGGGCGCTAGTTGAGATTATGGTTCAAGTTCACGCTTGAAATTCATATGTGAATATGAATTTCACGGATTTCTTTGAGTTGTTGTCGTCATTTTTATGAGTTTGTCATTGGTGTCAAACAGAATTTGAAGTGTCTTTTAGAAACAGTTAACCTTCGCGCATGCGTCTATGTACAGTAATATTTCATTTTTGCGCATTTTTCGACACATATTCAAAAATGTTTCAAGAGATTCGTCAGTCATTCGTTGCGCTTTTCTGATGCAACATTAATTAAGATTAACAACTTAACTGGCAGAAGTCGCGCCAGAATCCAACATGAATAAGCGAATATAAACACAATTTACAACAGTAAATTGCAGTTAAGTAAAACTAACTGTAATTATATAGTATAGTTGTAATTTTATTAAATGAGTAAGCCAATAAGCGACAAGTGCTGCCATCCAATTTATTGGCAACCCACGCCAAGCGGCTGGCTCTCTGGGGAAATTTACAATGGTGAGAAGAACTCAACTCAACATAAAGTAGCCACAACAAATGTCCGTTTCTATTTATTTATTGAACAGCATAATGAGCTGAAAGGCGCACGACTACACCGTCGCAACTATACGCATAAACAAAGCTTAATTGAACAACAACAACAGAGTCAAAGAGCAAATGCCGAGTGTCGCATTTCAAGAGAGAGCAAATTTGAGAGAGTGAATTTGAGAGCATAATCTCCACCATTAGTGCAGCAAGTGCAGCGGCCGCATTTGAAATGCATGCATGTGGGGGAGTACGACCAAGACAGCGCTAGGCAGAGAGAGAGAGAGAGCGAGCGCGTACGCGACAATAACAAACCGAACTTAACGAGCAAAGGCTTCGTGTATTAGAATAATGAGAGCGAGTCACGCACGAAGCAGCTGCTGCTTCTGCTGCTGCGACTGCCGTTGGCGCCGCTGTTACAGTAGTGCGGCGGCATATAAATTGCATTGAACGACAACAGCCGCTCAACATTCTGCCTTTGTATTTTGCACAAACAACAACCGCAACAGCAGCAGCAGCAGCGCAGACAGTGCCGGAGAGAGCGTGACTGAGCACTGAGCAGAGAAGCAGAGAAGGAAGGCAAACGGAAGCGCGTGCCGCAAAAGTTTACGGAAATAAAATAACAAGCACAAAAAGTTCACGGCACATAAGTGCTACTTGAACCCCAACAACAGACAACAAAACATACAATTGTTATTTAACTATTGATGAAAGCAAAAAGCAAAGAATAAGAAGTGCAGTTTAACCGAATTGGAACAAATAAAATACCGAAATGTGGCCCAACTTTATTGCTGTCATTTCGCTGATGTGCCTGGCACTGTTCTGTGCCTGGGCCCAAGCTGGACCCGTGCCAATTGTGAATGAGGTGAGTTTCGGGGACGGAGTGTGGAGTGAAGAAACACGGAAGTGTGCAAGAAGTTATGAGCTGAGGCAATTGCGTTGTTTTATTTTTCCTTTCTTTCTTTGTATAGAATGACATTTCCGTATTATAAGGGTATGATATTTTGTGAAATTTAAATTAAATTGGACTGCAACAAAGTGCAATTGTTAATTAAAAGATTACTTTCGAATTGACAGCAATAATAAGGCCGTGAACACGACTTGAGCGGCTGTTAATCAGCACGACTATTTATAGGCCTTAACGGTTTATATATAATTATATATATACACATATTTGTGTATGATGATGATCAGAATATTCCATTTGCTTATATAATATTTGAAGTGAGTGTTTCCTTATCAACTTTACTGCGAAGAACTCGAGGCGTTTTCACAAATTTCGAAAATAACAAGGCGATTATTTCGTAGCCTTTAATGATCTTTGAACGCAGCTCAAGGATATCAACTAAAATGTCAATAAACTCTTCCCACAACTATTCAACTTAGACCTACGACAAAATGAAGAAAGCACAGTTGCTATGCTGATTTATCTATATATAATACTAGAAGTGCAATTTCCCCGTCTAAATCCATGTAACGCCCAATTGAAAGGCATCCAAAAATAAGCAACACAATTGTGCTTTAAGGGAATGGCATTATTAATATGAATTGAAATTATTCAAATGTTGTCTGAATACAACGAGAAGAAAGCGTGACGAAACAAAACTGAACAAAAAGATTGCAAGATTAGAAAAAGTGAAGGTGGAAACGGAGTCTAGAAACTACACAAATATAAATAGTTGTTGTGTACTGCAAATATCACTTTTTACAAAATATTTTGACTCTGCTGCGTGAATAACTATACATACATATATATAATTAATCATGTAGGAGTCAAACAATTATTTTGATTTATATACACATATATATCAATTATATTTAAATTGTTTTCATATTTTTTTCGCCTACAACAGCACCAGCAGCTGATGCCCAAGGTGCCCCAATGGCATTGCTTGCGTTACTTTAAGCACGATGTTCTGATGATGCGCCGCTGTCGTCACTTGCGTGTTCCAACGGCGCCACGTCTTGGGGATGTTCTCATACGCAAGAGGAAGAAATAGAAATGGGGCCAATCGGGCGACAAGTCGACACAGCAACAACAACAACAACCAAATCAACAACAACAACAGCACATGACTGAGCAACAAAACGAATTACAATTGCAAATAGAATTTCAACAGGATTTATAACAAGACCAAAGTTTAACCAAAAAAAAAATAATTAATCAATTATTTACTATATGTATAATTTAAGTTAATCTTAAGCCTAACCACTTGTACTTCATAGCATTTAAGGTTTCAATAAAATTACAAAAACTAAGAAGATAAACATATCAAATCCAGTAGGCAAGTAATTTTCGTTTTATATATATTATAATAATGTGTTTTCTTTATCGTAAATGAAGCGTGATTAATTAAGCTTTATTGTTGCAATTTGCGAGTGCGTTCTGTTAAGTGTTCTAATAACTAGTGAAAGACCGAAAGGATACTTGGAAAACTGAAGAAATCCTTAAATTATCAGTAAATCAGATTTTGTAACAGTCGACAGAGAATTCTACAATACAATTATTAAATGGTAGATAATTTATGATATCCCTATAAGGAAATCACTTAATAAATCTTTCAAATAGTTGACATAAGCAAATATTGAAGTTTAAGCAAAAATCAACCTGAATTTCAATTCTTTAAACTTCATTCGATGAATGTAGTTGGCTTTCGAGTCGACATATTTATAACGCTCACGGCAAATACTCTTGTTTAAAAATATTGTACATAAGATCGTTACAGATATCGTATTGATATATGTTAAATAGATACTTACCGCATTCACTGAGCTATGCACTCCACGCCCCACAATCAGTGGTCCGCTGGTCTTGGCAATCTCTATTTTCTCGCCCGACTTCTGTTTGGCCACAAAACTGCCAAATGTTGCATATTGCAGCAGCTGTTCCGCGACTGGTGGCTGGGCAAAGGAAATGGGCGCGAGCGCATCATCCATTGTGCTGTGACCGGGCTGGGCCAGATAGACAATCTCCTTGTCGTGGGTGAGCATGTGCAGCGTCGACTGCGCCTGCCAATCCACATTGATGGAGCTCTGTTTGGGCTGGCGTCGTGGCAACCACACCAGGCCGTGCAACTTGGGCAAATTGCAGCGCTGATAGACAGGCAGTGGTACATTTGGCTGGAAGACATGCACTGCAACAGGGAAACAAATATGAAAATGGAATCGTTCACGGGATACGGATGCAGTTACTCACGTTCATCGTTGCGCGTAATGGCAGCTATCAGATTGGTGAGCGGATCAAAGGCCAATTGTCGCACGGAGAGCTTGAGACCCGCCTGCAAACGCAACGTCATCAGATTCCAGATGAGCACACGCGTCTCGGTGCAGACGGCCACCAGATGCGCCTGCGCCCCGGCACCAAATTGCACGTGTGAAATTTGCGCACAGCTCTGCAGAGGTGCTGACTCCATTTGCGGCGCTTTCGCCGGTTTCGTTTCCCAGCGTTTGCGTTTCGTTGCTGCAGCTGTTGCTGCTGTCGGTTTGGTCGTCTCATCCAGATGGAGTACACTGAACAGCGGCAGCAGCTCCTGTCTGACCAGTTGCTCGTAGTTTTTCCGCCGACTGCTGAGACGTGCCAGACGCTGTTTCGCCTTGAAGCGTTGTCGCGGCTGCAACCGATGCAGACGCGCCTCAAGCGTTTTCAGGCGACGCTGCACCGCCATTGGATCCACCACACAGTTCTGCAGATGCATCCGCAGTCGTCGGTGACAGGCCTCATGAACGGTGCACTCAATGCCAAAGCGACGCAATAGCTGCAGCTTCTGATGCAAACCCAACTCGGACATTTGCATAATATGCTTGTACACATTCTCCTTGATCGCATCCTTCGGCGTCTGCTCATTGCTTGATTTGCATTGACTGCTCGGCGCACTGGCAATCAGTTGGCGAGCCTGCTTCACCAGCTTCTGATCGTTGCTGTCGAGCAGCGTTTGCAGCAGTCCGTACAGCTGTTGGCGCTGCTGCTGCAGTTCCGTGCGCGTACCATTCACCGGCATCTGGGCTAGACGCAACTGAGCCTTGGCCACAACACCATCATAGCCAGCCGATGAGCTCAACGCATGCAGCAGCCGCAACGTGCGTGCATCGTACAACACCAGTGTGCTGCCATAGCCAGCGGCCAGCAGTGATCCGTCTTGCGAGAAGCAAATAGAGCCCAGAGACTGTCGCTTGTAGCTCGCCTGCGCTGCACAGCTCCACATTGTGCCGCGCTTGTAAATGTTCTCCGAATCGCCAACTGTCCACAGTTTGATCACATTATCCTTGCCGGCCGTTGCACAGCGCAAATTGTTCACCTGAAACTGATTGGAGAAGATGATGGCCTGGAAGCCATGCTCATGCGGCAGCTCAATGTTTGTGTTGAGCTTGTAACTGCAAGGGGAAAATTGAAAAATGGAATTATTGAGAGGGTTGCTTTTCAATTATCATGTTTCAACACACACCTTTGTAATCGCTCCTGATATTGCCAAAATTTGAGACGCAACTCGGCAAAGTTGCGGTGATCGTTGTACACCTCACCCGTTGCCATCCAGTCAATGTTGAAGGCTGCCCGTGTGACGCACGTATTATAAATAATCCGTTTCGCTTCCTGAGAGTTCACATTGCTCTCCACCACACGCAGCTGCAGAGAGTAACACAATTAGACCAAATACAAATTGAAGTAGGAAGGCGATAATTTACATTATAAAGCAAACTCTTCGTATAGGCCGAGTAGAACTGCAAATGTCCGATGCGTCCGTTGAGCACAAGTGTGTTTGTGCGTGGATTAAGACTCAATCCGATGGGGAACAAAGTTTTGCCCGTCTTGTCCGGCAAAGCATAGGTGAAATGTTGAAGCGCCGATTTCAGCATCATTTCGCTGGGGCTGATAAAATGCAGGGCATTGTCGTCGGTGCAGGCGAGCACATGCTCATTGCCATCGCTGATCAAGATGTGCCGGATAATGCTCGACATGCGCGGCACAAAATTTCGCTCGTTCGAATTGGCCAGCGACCATTTGACCAGCACAGCCTCATGGCCAGCACTATAGAAACTTACGCCCGACGGCGTGAAGGCAATACTCGTCACACCCGTATTATGCCAGTGATGTTCTGCGCACAGCACTCGCTCCTGATTGTCAAACTGTCGCCAGATGATAACCCGGCCCTTCTCATCGCCAGTCGCGGCCATTTCCTCGCAGGGACTCATCCGCACACACGTTACGAGCGCTGTGTGTGTGTTTTTATATCGACAGAATTTCCATGTCTCATAGTTGAGAAAGTAAACATAATAACCCTGTGCTATTATTACAAACTTGAAAGTGCCCTTGCCCACATCCACCAAGGGGACCCGAACTCTGCAAATGAAAAGAGCAACAGGTTGTCAAATCAGTTGGAGTTCTTTCAAAGATTTGATGTTAGAAACATGCAGATAAATAAGAGAAAGTGTGAAACAGTTCCAAAATAGTTTGGATTACTATTTAAAATTTGTTGTAAAACGTAGTGCAGTAAAGAAAGGTAAATTAAATATGTATAAGAATCAATTCAAAAGTGGATTTAGTCATTTCTTAACAAGTATTTACAAGTAAATGTTTTAACTGATTCGAAAGGGGTTACAAATGTTATACAAAATGAATAAAATGTGTTTTAATCTCATATCATATTAATGACAATATTTAAATTAAGAAATATTGTGCTGAGTTGTTCACATAAATAAAAACAAAACATATTTCAGTAATAGTTTTGAATATCAACGATTACTCACTTTAGTTTGAGGCCACATTTAATGGGGATGACGTTGCCGGTGCTGGTATTGACCACAAACCAGAGTATCTGTTCGCCACTTTTCCGTTTAGCTGTGACAAAGGCGCACGCGGTGTCGCCCTCTTTGTACAGATTGAGCAGATTGCACGTGAGGATTTGCAAGCCCTGTTCACCCAGTTTCAGGCTGATGTTCTTTTGCAGTACACCGGTTCGCCAATGCCAACGGAGCAGTTGGCCCGTACTAGTGCAGCCCAGTAGCAACTCCGGCTGTTGGACATCCAGCTCCAAACTGATTAGCGGCGATTGTGCATCGTTTAGTTCACGTGTCAGTTCTCCGGTGCTGGTAACAAACACCTGCACCTTTAGCCCACATCGCACAAAGATGAATCTATGCAGGGGCATTAAATATTTAATTTATGCCAAAAATAACTAATCAAATATGGTTATAACTAACCTTCCTTGAGCTGAGAAAACAGGCGCATGTTTCACAATGTTGCCGCCCGCCAAATGCTGCAGCTCCAGTCCGTCATCATCGTTGAAATTCATGGCTGTCCCTTTCGTACAGCTTTGCGGTGCACTCTCGACTGCCTGTACACTGCAAGTCCTTCTAATTTAATCAATAACAACTTATTTTATGCACGTATTTCTCTCATACAAAATTATAAACCGCACGTGTAGCTGCTTTCTGTGGTGTTGCTCAACGAATTGCCTGCCAAACACAGTGTTGCTAAACGTCAACTTGATTGTACTTGTGGCGCAGCCAGCTTTACTTTGATGGCAACAGTTGAGCGGCAAAATAGCAGGTGCTTGAAAATTAATCAAACTTATTATTGTTTTCAATTATTTAAAAGAAATAATTTATAGTAGAAAATTGTTTTCCGTTATAGCTTTAGAATACTAGTTGCAAGTGTTAGGTGCATAAGTAGGGGAACAAGAACTTAATAAACCAATAAAAAAAGAATTTCCTTAAGCTTGCTATTAAAGTTTATGTTCTTTGAATTCGCTTTGGCTATATTCTAGAAACAAAACCCTTAAAACATTTCACTTAATATTATTTTCCGTATCCAACTCACGCAATTCAAATATGTCGCTCCAGCAGCCAGTGCTGCAAAATGCTGTACACGGCACTTGTGCAAGCGATAAGCGATAGTTTTTTGGTATTTAATCAATATCGCAAAGCAGCCCATATTAGAATAAAATATTGTTCAATAAATGGATAAACTAATGGTCAGCAAAAAGTAGGCGGCACTGGTTCAAACGCTGCCACGTGTCCGGATAGATTTCGAGATGGCAATAATGTACACATGCCAAATAGCACCAACAACAAGAAAAAGAACACCAGCAGCAGCGACACCAACAAGAAGAACAACAAACGACATGTGCAACGTTTCACGCAAAAGCAATGTAAACAACTTGCAGGCAAGTTGTTCATTGCGCTTCCTGGCCATTATCCTTCCATTGTCTTGCCTACTGACGCATGTGGCTGCGACGGAGCCGCTTAAGGTGATCTACGCAGTGAATGCCGGCGGCGATAGGCATACGGATCAAAATGGCATACATTATACGGCGGACACGTTGAAAGTGGGAATCGCTTCCGACTATGGCAAGCATTTGCTGATGATTGGCCGGGTGCAGGAGCAGGACGAGCTTCTCTATCGCACCGAACGCTATCACACCACAACTTTTGGCTATGATTTTCCCGCCGATGGCGATGGTGACTATGCGCTCATCATGAAATTCTGTGAAGTGTATTTCGATGCACCCAATCGCAAGGTGTTCGATGTGCTCCTGAATCGAAGGCATACTGTGGTCAAGCAGCTGGACATCTACAATCAGGTGGGACGCGGCTCGGCGCACGATGAGATCGTCTACTTTAAGATCATCAATGGCCGGCTGCACTATGAGGCTGAGGGTGAGATTGAGACATCGGATGTACGCAATGGGCAGCTACGCTTGGACTTTATCAAGGGTGCGTTGGATAATCCGAAGATTAATGCATTTGCACTGCTCAAGGGCGATGTGTCGCAGTTGCCGCGTATGCACAGCACTGAGGCCAGTGATCGTCGGGTGGAGGCCGAGGAGGAGGAGAAGCCGCGTCAGTTGCTTCAAGAGCGCATTGTGCGCTACAACGAGAAACAGACGCAACGAGGCTATGACGATGATGCGGACGAGGATGAAGATGACTACGATGGGGAGGAGCAAACCCAACCACAACAAAATTCACAGCAGCAGCAACGCCAAGCTCAACAGCAACAACAGCAGCATCAACAACAACAATCGGCCACGCAGAACTCGAAGCGTATTCGAAGCGGACCACGTCAACCAAATCCGTATTCCATGGATGATTCATCGATCCTGATGCCCGTATTTGTTGCCATCTGTGCATTTATACCGCTGCTGTTTTGCCTGTGCAAGCTGTGATCCCCATGGGATCCCCATTTTAGCTATCGTGTTGATTTTTGTGATTTTTATAAAAGACTTAATTGTATAATTATGGTTTAGTTTAGTAGCGACAAACATGTACTCGTTTTTTTTGTCAACACACAAAAACAACGCACAAATCTCTCTAATTACAATTTATACTATATGTATATATATATGTATACATATAGTATATATATATAGTCTTATTATGTGTTCCTTCTTTGGATTCAGACCCGCCTCCAAATTGCCAGGCTCGTTTACTTAAGCTAACAGCAACGCATCGACAAGTAGCTCTCCCTCCCATGAGAAATGCAGTTATGTATATGATATATATGTATATATATACATATATTTAAGATATTGACATACCTATATGAAATGCAGTTTTGGTTATTTTTTTTAGCAATTGCTTAAAACTAATTCAATGGAAAATAAAACTTGTTTGTTATCGACAAATTGTTTAATGATATTGCATAATATATACCTGATACAAATGAAGTGGATTCAGTGAAGTGTATCTTAATTGGGGGGATTTGAAAGTTATTGAATGAATCGAATTGAGCGTTATAACTGACGCAATTATTATAGTAATTTGGCAATTAAATAGTAATTTGATAGTGGAATAGCCTAACTAGTTTATAAATAAAATTAGAATATGCTTTTAAATGATTATTTTCCAACCGTTTTGCGTCCGTATTCCTAAAAGAGGCTGTTACGAGTGAGATCAATTTACAAACAAATAAAATAATATACTAATAAACAATTCACTCACAAATTGTTTCTGTACTCTAACCAGTATTTATTTAATTACAGAAAGAATTTAAAATTAGGTACATGAATATGTCAAAAAGTGCACTCAGCTAAAGTTCAATAAATATTTGAATATATAATTGCTTAAACGATGTATTGAAAGTTGCTCAGCTCGGCTCAAGAAATATAAGATTGTCATACATAAATATTGTTAACTTTATTCAAATTTTAAATTCATATTTGTTCATGCAGTGAAAATTACAAAAATATATGTCTTTTCTTAATTCATCTACTTAAGCGCCAATAAAATTGTATTCCTAATCCTAAATCGACACACTTCTTTTATCACATTCCATACTCCAATAAAATATTTATTTTTGAATTTCAAAAAGTCCTCTCCATTTATAATTTATATTTGAAATCAATGTGAAGTAAGCACATTAAATGTTTAACATATTCAGAACTCAGGTCGTTTTTCATTTGATGTTTGTAAAATGTATATTTATGTGCATTTATATTCTCAGCGAAAGGTTAACGTTAATTCAAGAGATAAGTTGTCCATTATATAATTAACAAATTGTGTTAGCATATGTGCAATAAAGTACTATTTATTATTGTTGTCGCTAGACAGGCGCTTAAAGTGAAAACTTTAAGCTAGTTTTAGTGTAATATCATCTATTTTTAATGGAATCAAAAATGTCTATATAGTCTTGCCAAAATCTTTAACACGTTTATAATATGCTTGTTATAGCCTGTATGGATATTTAACAATACATTGTAGATTTAACTACTGATCATTAAATCATGTTTGTATTATTATCAATGCAAATTTTTTCAAGTACAACTTATGGTATTGGGGTTCAAGTTCACTACTGCAGTTCGAAATCGCTACACAGGCAACCTGTAGACGAGTGTTCCAAACACACACGCGATTACGTGCTCGCGTCCGGTATATATGGCAAGTCCGGGGTTGGTGCGACTGGGTTCATTTGTATGCATCAGCAGATGCCAAAATGTCAGCGTGACGCACAGAACGCATTGTTTTCAATAATAATTCAAATAATCGATATAGAACTTTATTGGATAGATAAGCGGCGAGTGGGGGACTTGATAGGATTGACAGAAACCAAATGGCTGCTCATTTATATATATATACAGGCTAATAATAATAAAATAATGCAGGTCATACATAAAAAATTGTATACAAAAAATATAGTTGCTACTAAATGACTAACAATAAGATGCACACACACATAAACACTCACACACTCACTCACACACACAGACACAGACACGCATAAAAAACACACATAAAGCTCAGACGTACAAATTGCACTTAACAAATGTTTTGAGTCTCTTACAAAACTATTCAAAATGCGATTAAAAGCAACAAAAAGAAAATGCACTAATTAACTATATATGCTAAATACAAAAATATTTGAATATCATAACAAAGTGCATAGCTCGAATGTGTGCAAAGTGGGGAGGCGCTTACAAATTAATTAACAGGAGAGGAATAGAGGTGAAGAAAACTACACAAAACACCAATTACTAAAAGGGGAGCATCATCTCCGTTAAGAGTCCTTAAAATCGAATCTCGTTGCGCTGCAGCTGCTCATAGGCCTTGGGCGTAAGCTCTTCGTAGCGCCCCTTGGCCGTTTGATAGTAGAGCGCATCGTGCACCACGTTCGGATCGTAGCCCTCCTTTTGCAGATCCACTTTGCGTAGCTTGAATGTGCCCGTCAGATCCACCTTGGTGAGCAGTCGCAGTATCTGTGGACGCGCATAGGCAGGCAGCACTTTGGCAAGATTGGTGGCAAACAAATCCAGATCGAGTTCTCGATCTGGATCGTAGATGGCGGCCATGCCGGCACGTCCTTCGGTGTGCGGTATGGTTACACCGTACACCACGGTATCCTTGTAGCCAGCGACATTGCTGACCTGTGCCTCAACCTCGCTGGTGGACACATTTTCACCCTTCCAGCGGAATGTATCGCCGGTGCGATCCTTAAAGTACAAATAGCCCTTCTCATCGGCAACGAGCAGATCGCCGGAAAGGAAGGCCATATCGCCATGCTTGAACACATCCCTGACAATCTTCTTGGCCGATGCCTTGGAATCGACATAGCCCAGAAATTCACGCGATGGATTGCCCTTGACGATCTTACCAATGAAGACGCCCGGCTCATTTGGCTCGCACAGCTCACAGAGGCCATCTTTGTTGCGGATGGGCTCTCCGGTGTCCTGATCGGCGCGTATTATCGATATCGGATAGATCTTGGGCAATATGCGGGACACAAAGCCAATGGCGCCAACAGTATTGTCATGATTCATAATATTCGCATTGCCCTCGGTGGCGCCATAGAATTCACCCACTTTGGCAATGTTGAAACGTTTAACAAACTGCGGCCAAATCTGTGGACGCAATCCGTTGCCGTACATCAAACGGACGCGATGTGCCCGATCATGTTCCGAGGGTTTCGTGGCCAGAATATAGCGAGCCATTTCGCCAATGTATTGACCGATCTGTAAAGTGTTTAAAGGTTGTTAGCTTGTTTCAACTGAGGGCAAGTACAACTTACAGTTGCATTAAATTTGGCACAATCCACGAAATAGTTGGAAGCCGAAAACTTCTTGCGTATGGAGACAGTGGAGCCAAAAAGCACCGCTTGGCCCATGCACATGACGCCACCAGCGGTGTGGTACAGCGGCAACGGTGTATAGAACACATCGTCATCGTTGAAGCCCATGGTATAGTGGATGCCGGCGGCAATAAACAAATAGCTGAAAGAAGCAATTCAAGTAATTATAGAAAAAAACCAATTAATCTTTGGACGAGTGAATAATTACTTGAACTATTTTATAAATATTCATTTGATTATTGTTAATAGGATCAACAGAGTAAGTATTTTCAATTTTATATATGCATATGTATGAATTGCATTGTATGAATTCAATTATCATTTATTTTTTTAATTAAAAATGGTATGTAATATATATACATTTACTAAGCTCAACCAACTTCGAAAACAAAATCAATTGCAAAAAGAAAGCACTTGAACTAAATAGTAATCTTTAAATAGAAACTAAGGAAAAAAATGAGTTGCGAGAAACTGGAAAAATGCTAATAGAGAGCACATACAAAGAAAAAAGGTATTAAAGGCATTGAATACTTAAACATATAGATATATATATATATAGTTACACAATGATTGAATAGATATGAGCTATATATAATTTACATGAGTTGCAAGCCTATCGGGTTTGCAAATCAAATCAGCAGATTACGAAAACATACTTGTTACTAGTTAGACTAGTTAACCAATAAATTATAAATCTATATGTACAAAATAGCTAGCAACAAGTCTTTCAAAGCTTTAAATACATTATTATTATATTGATAAATAAAAAGTTACACATAGTGGCAATGACTCACCGTGAATGGGAGATAACAGCTGCTTTAGGCAGCCCTGTTGTGCCAGATGTATAGATATAGACAAGCTTGTCATGATGGGCCACCTGAGTTTTGCCGGGTTTCTCAACGCTAGCCGCTGATAGCAGCGTATTCAAATTGCGCATATTTTTAACTGCTTCCGATTGGCTGTTGTTGTTCTCGTTGTTGAACTGGAAGAGCGTGAGATCTGTGGGCAGTTCTTTGCTAATATCGCCGATGGCCTCAACGAAATCCTCGCCATAGATGAGCGCAACACAGTGGGCCACCGTTATGCTGTGCAACAGCGACGGTCCACGCAGATTTGTATTGATCAGCGGCGTAATGACGCCAATTTTCGACAGACCCAACCAGGTAGCCATGTATTCCGCCCGATTTTCCAGCAGCAGACCGACAACATCACCTTTTTTGTAGCCCTGCGCCTGGAAGACGTTGGCAATGCGATTAGCATGCTCGTTCATCTGCCGGAATGTCCATCTCTGGGTGTCGCTCATGACGGCCACCTTGTCAGGATGCGCCCGCACATTCTCCTCGAAGACATCGGCAACCGTATTGTTGAGGCGTTCATGTCGCTTCGTATAGCGCAGCAGCTTAGCATAGGCAAACAAGGCGCTGCAGTGAAGGTAGAATAAGGAGAGCGATTATCGATTAGTGATAAGCTAGTATTTATATAGTATATATAAAATTTTATTATCAGTCAATCCGCTGCTGGCGTTACGTGTGGTTTATGAGCCGATTGATTGTGAAAACGATCCAAAAATAACTGAAGCGTTAGCTTTGGACAAGCGCAGCACACACGGTACAACCGTGTTCCAGATAATCCATTTCAAAGGCAATTAAATGTGCCTGGGAAAGTAGCTTGAAGTGCTTTCAAGCATCGATAACTGCATTATATAAATTATGTGCAATTGACAGCGAAAGTGTTTAACAGTCTTAATTGGGCTTGGTAATTGTTATATGAAATGTAGTTCAATTTATATATATATAATGTTAGATCATAAGTCGCTTATTACAATTCGATCATAAGTCGCTTATTACAATTCGATCTATTTATCCATCTATCGATCCAATGTAATAAAATAAAGATTTATATATCTCAAAATGCAAGCTTAGAGCTGAAAATTTTTATAATGCTTGAAAAACAATGGAAAGCAAAAACAAAACATTATACAAATATCAAAAGATAATTAAATGCAGATTAAACAAACGCCAATCCAATTACAACTGAAACAAAGCTACTTATCACTAAATTATTATAATATAAATATGTGTTTTTTTTTATTATTAATTTAAATGAGTTCATATGAAAGGTTATTTTGTAGTAATTTGAAAAAAAACGAGTTTTTTCAGGTTTAATTATTTCAAAAGAAAGCTAATGTTTATATATATGTATGTAAGTATATTATGCTCCATATATTGTTTATTTTATTTTTTTTTTGAGTGGTTGAGTCTATAATCGAATTTTGTACAAATTCCAATCTGTAGAACTTTTGAACAGCACTTTATTTGTTTGGTGCTTGAAAGCACTTTGTACCCAACGGAAAGTGTAGCATAGCTGATAAGATAGCCAGCTTAAGCATTGGGGGATTATAATTTTAAGGGCGACATGCATACATTGCTGTATAAGCTATAATTAAAAACAATTAAGTAAATAAAAATATAGCCATGTTTATAAGCATCTCGTAGAAGTATCTAGAGTCTTGCACTTTGTATCAAGTTTACAGAGCCGAGTTTCTTTCGCAAGGCCGTCAAGAAACAACTTGCAGTAAAACGACCGATCTTAAGAATCTTGTTCGCATGGCTAACAAAAAATACGATTGGCCTTGTTGCTTGCGTGTTTTTGCTGTTTTTTGCTGCCATAAAAATGTATTTAGCTGATTCCATGCAATTTTAGTCAGAGTATATTTTTGACTCAGTCTCAATGGCGAATAGCCATTAACATATTATGGCATTGATCTCTTAATTATATAAAAATGTTATAATTGAAAGGGATTGCTTGGGGACAAACTAGTTGAGAGTGTAAAAGATTAAATATGTACTCCTAAATATATGTTAACTGTATTTATCTACATAAATCTATCTTTCTTTAAAAAATTATTTACTTAAATTTTCGTTTTTGTTCGAGCTATATGTGAAATGCTTTAAATCAACTTTGAAGAGCGAAAAATGGAGATAACTAATATTTATTTAAACCAAAAGTCAATTAGAGTGTTAAACACTCGTCGATTAGTTTGGAATTTGTGTCAAATGGAATATTCCATAGATCAACGTAGGCTTCTTACAAAGACCGCTTATAATTGTCCATTGAGAATTTATGTTGTTTGAGCTCTGCTCTGTGTGGCAACCCTAGCTAAGCAGACCGACAGCAATATGTGTTGCTTCCGCAATTTTAAATTGAATACGAATACGAAGACAAAAGCAGTTACGAAACCCCCTGACGATGTTTTTCAAGAACAGTTCGTGCGCCGATCGACAACTAACTGTGCCAACCAGCAGTGGCTACAACTCTGCTTCTTCTTCCGCCTGTCACACACACACACTGACAGACAGAGAGAAATACATGAAATTAGTATGCATTGCAGAAGCTCTTCTTCTCCACGCATTACCGCATGGTTTTTTTTAAGCCAATCAATGGTGTATGAAAAGTGAATTTGTTTTTTCAATTTTTGTTGTGGTTTGTTTTGTTATTTTTTTTTTTTGGTCTTGTCAACCACCTACTGGCATCGTTTGCTAGCGACCTTGAACCTGAACAAGTCAATGACTGCCATTAAAAATAACTACGATAAAAAGAGCGACATATGCGTAACTGATAAATAAGCCGGCCCCAAAATGGATGACACATTTTCAGGTATATGCTTTATTTACATTGGCAAAAATTACTATCTAGCGAAGTCTGGCAAAAGAGAAAACTTCAGCTGTAGCTTTTCCCTCAAGTCTAAAGATAGCTGCGGCTGCGGACAAGCGACCCAAATAGAAGCAAAGAAACGAGTTTTTATAATTATTTTTTCTTTTTTTTTTTTAGTCGCTATACGCTTGGGGTACAATGAGCAAAGTATATCTTTTTGCGGTTGACAAGTAGACACAAGGGAGTAGCGTGGAGGGAGGCGGAGGTGTGTATTGTTGGGGTCGTCAAATGATTTTATTAAGGAAAATGTAAATTGTATTGAAATGCACACCACTTGAGGTATTGTAAACTAATCAACATTGTGGCGCAAACCAAACACACCACACCAAAAACACACACACACACACGGCCTCATACAGATCACACACAAGCGAGCGTAACTCACGTAAAATCTCGTTTGGCTGTTGCTCCCGCGATGTAGAACCAGCGCCAAGACCTTGTTAGGAGCAGTGCGATGAGCGCAACGATTACCGCAAAAAACCAACCCATTGTGTGCAGTGTGTAGTTGACGCAGGCGACAGTCAATGCAAATGCGACCGTCGCGCAAAAATAACGAAATATGACTAAAAAGCGGTTTCGCCGTTGGCGCTTGCGTTGCTGCAGCGATCGATAGCTAAGCGATAACGATTGCCGATATTGTTGTTGTTGATCAGCTGTTGTGACCGCACTGCGCAACTGTTAACCGATGACCATTCACGTTGCCAGATTGAAGAAAATTTCGAAATTAATATAATATATTTTGAATTTATAGAAATTTTACTTACATTGGTGCTGTAAAGCGCACTGTTTTCGATATTTATAATAACGTTGTTGCTCACATTGTTGTCCAGTAAGCTGTTGTGCTGTTGATAATATAGTCATGTAAAAATATCAATTCAATTGTTTATTGTCTTATTAGCATTTGGTAGCATTCAAAAGCTCCTCTACTAATATTGTTTTGACTTGCTTTGCTGTTTCTCAAAGTAAACAAATGGAGTTTACTAACCGTTAGTTCGCGCCTTTGTTGACTGTTGCAATTGTTGTAACGCAAGCGTTCATAACGCGTCTCGTTGCGTTGTCACAAGAATCCATTGAACATGTAAAACGGTAGAAATTGTCGACGAAAGCGCACAACTTTACGAAATAGCATTTTCCTACACTTATGGTGCTGTGTAGGCAAACCCGTGACTCTTTGTAAAATATTACGCAGAAATTTAACTGTTTTGTTGTGTTTTATAACTATTTTAGCTACAGTCGCAAATTCAAAGCTTTTCGGCTGCAGCTGTTGAGCTTTCAATTGAACTGGTTCATTGCGTGACTTGTGTGCTGCAACCAATATAGAAGTGAAGTTCATTAAGGACACGACACGGTACTATTAAAAATATAATAATAAAAAAGAAAAGCCGTACATATTATTTATTTTGTTTATATAACTCTCTCTAGGGTGATTTAAAACCGCTCAACAATTTGACTTGCGCATCACGACAACTATCGACTGACGACTATCGGCTGGCGTCAGCTGTTCGCTGGTTTAACTAGATGGTAACATTGGCAGCAAATAAAAGCGGCATTAAAAACGTTAGGCATAATCGAATTGTTATTAATAATATTAAGTGGTTTCCTCAATTAAAGCAGCCTCGCAATGAAAATACTATGCGAGGTGCAAGTGGTGAATCGTATAACGCAGGCAAATCGTACGCCACGCCCCGTAAAATCCACCTTGGCCATTGGCTACAAGCAAAGCGCGCGCGACTCCAATGGAAATGCGACCAACAAAAAGGAGCTGGAAATGGTTTTATTTACGCCGCAAGTGAAGAGCGGCACACGGTACAAGGTGCGCGAGAATATACATTGTGTGCACACCAAGTTTGTGCTGGATGGCAAGGTGACCATCGGCTTTAAGCAGCCGGCAGAGAATCTGCTCATCAAATGTGATCCCATACAGCTGAAGGGTTTCCTTCAAACTATGAAACTGGGCATGGAGGGCAAGGATGCCATCAATTTGAGACTGAACATATCAGCAGCGACAGCCATTGCACAGAAGGCGCAGCCGCAGCAGCGTATGTCAATCAACAAGCGCAGCGAATACCCCATTAAAGGTTTTCCGCGAACTCTCAAATCTCTGAGCATCAACAATATACAGTTGATGAAGCTCAGCTTTGAGATTTGCACGCTGCGCAATCTAACCACACTGGATGTTAGCGGCAATAAGCTGACAAAGGTAAAAAGTCTTCGACAATGACCGATTTACAATGTTAAATACAAATAATTAATTTACTTCGCACAGATTCCCAAGGAATTGGGCCGACTGCCTTTGACTACGCTCCGATTGAGTGGGAATTCGCTGGGCGAACTCAACGATTGGTGCTGGCTGCGTGGCAGCAAATTGAGCAAGTCCCTCTGTGAGCTTGACTTGTCTGCGAATGGATTAAGCCACTTCCCGAAGCCACTGGTGCGTTTTGAGCGTCTGGTGACGCTTAATTTGAATCACAATAGACTGCAATATCTGCCCTTTGGCATACGTCGGCTACAGAAGCTACGTGCTCTGCATGTGTCCAGCAATAAGCTGGAATCACTGCCCGCTGCCATTGAGGATCTACACATTGATCTACTTGATGTGTGGGGCAATTGCTTTAAGGGTTTCAATGTGGAAGTGGCACAAACGCAAGTTCGACGACCTGCAGCCCCAAACAACGCACCCACACCACTCTGGCTGCAGGCGGCACGCGTTGTCGCCAACCAGAAGTTGCCGTATACGGCAAGCACATTGCCCGCCATCCTCATTGAACTGATATCGGAGGCACCCAAATGCCATTGCGGTAAACTGTGCTTTGCACTGAATTCAGGCGATGTCCTGAAGCGGGTGACACAGCCCATGTTTACGAATATTAAGAATTTAACCTATAGTCGCGAGCATCAGATCTACTTGGATGTTATTATCTGTGGTGCCGATTGTTGTGTCTTTCAACAGATGAAGCTGCTTAGTAATATAATGTTTCCTTGAGATCTAAAGGGAATTCATCGATTTGCTTTTCATTTGTTTTGTTGCCCATCGTTTAAACTTTAAGTATTTTACTTTTTCTCGAAATGTTTTATAAGAAATCTCATTCCAATCATGTTTTGTTATTTCAGTTCTCAAATTCAGCACATGACTGAATATTTCATTTATACATATTTATGCAACGTTTTAGTTTAAACACCTGTTAAGTTAAGCAATCAATAAAATCGAATTTAATTAGAAAATTAATATATAAAAGAATGAAATTCTTAAACAATACAATTAATAATAAAAATACAAACTTTAACTTATATTGTAGAAAAAAATGAAGAACCAAAAGTGCCTGCTTCTTAGATGAATAATAATTATGCCTAGAAATAGAAATTTAGAGCTAGCCAAAAAATGATGTTACCTCAAGGAAGAGTATATCTTTTTATGGCCAAGAAGCAAGAAAACAGGTCTAAGTATTTTTGTACAATGATAACTCCACATTTCGTCAGGCATTTGGATAATATTTTGTATGATCTCATTTTGATGATAACAAAAAAGTCTTGGTTAAAGTTGAATCTTGTATTTTGGGTGTGTGTTAAGCGTACTTTGTGGCTGCAGTGAAAGCAGCTGTGAAAAGGACTCTCAATTTCACTTCTGCTGCTGTTGCTCGGGTCGAATGAAGACATTTACACGCACAACATGGCCCCACTCCCTACGCTCTCCTCCCTCCTTCCATGTGTTTTCCCCCCGGCAGAACGCTTACTTTGTTTTCATATAACAGTCGCTCGTTGTTTTTATTATTAAAAGCATCGTGCGTATGTGACTTGCATAAATGCTCTAAGCATGAGAGTGAGTTTTTATCAGCCTTAAACTGACACCTAAACACAGCAAAACACACATATACACACACACACACACACAGGGAAAGTGCTTGGTGCTATCATTTTCTTGGCATTTTCTTTTCAAGCTTTATCAAATCAAAACTCTCGAAGCGCTGCCACTTTTTTAAATAAGCATAAACACTGGGACAGACTTCAGTCTCGCAACGCAACGTAAAAAAAAGGAAAGAAAAAAAATACTTAATGTGCAGCTGGGGAATAGGATGGCAAAGAAAGTAGACAGAAATTGGCAGGAGGATGAGCCATGACTTGTGGCAAACAGAGGCCAGCACAGGCCTAACTATAAAAATGTTTATCGGCATGCGAGCGAAAGGGAAACTGGGCAGTTGGGCCAAGAGATAGACAGAGAGAGAGAGAGAGAAAGAGAGAGAGAGAGAGAGAGGGAGTGGGGGGGTCTGCCCCAATCGCTGCTGCTTAAGCAGCACAAATCCAATTTTGAGCAGCATTTAAGTGTCCTGCCAGCGTCTGTGCTACTTCCTGTGACAACACCCTCAACCCCTACAAAAAAAAAACAAAAAAAAAACAAGAAAGTTGGTTTCCGCTTTTGTTTGCTATGCAGATACACACACATACATTGGGGTTTGTGCGTGTGTGTGTTTGCTTAAGGTTTCCCGGTACAACTTTTTGTAACGTGGTCCCCATCAAAATCTACTTAATTTTGCTTACACATAGAAAACACACAGTCATTGTCTTAGGATAAAATATACATATATCTAAACAGGATAACAAACAAATGCATTCCATTGTTACTAACTTTGTAATGCGACAAGTGTGTGTTAAATGTAAAAAAATTCTTTGGGATTTTTCAAGAAGAAAGCGTAAATCCAATATCGATATGCCTAAACTCGTTATAATTGTAGATGTGGGCGTTAGATTTCTATTTTTATACATTTTAAATAAATAATAAGCCTGCTGAGCCAGTTACGCATTTACAGGCAACATCGATAATTTCACAATAAGACGACAGGTATAATATTACTTGATGCCAGGATAAGTGCTTTTTAGGCTGTGCTTAGACAAATACAAAAATATATATTCGCCTTGTCTTCAATAAAATAAAAACAAATTGTGAAAGACGACAACTGTGAATAAAAAATATATTTAAATATAAAACAGCAAACTCAGAAAGATTTACCGCATTAATGGATTTAAAATACAAGTAATATATTAATGCATAAAATATCTGTGTGTGTTTTTTTATCTATTGTTTTTAAAAGCGCAAAGGTTTGTCTAGCGCCAAACTTATAAAGTTCCATTTTTTTCTACGGGTAGCTGTCCTGGCCGTGACTTTGCAATTTTTGCATGCGTGCTTCTGTGAGTGTGTGTGTCTGTGTGTGTGTGTGTGTCTGTGTGTATGTGTGTGTGTGTCTGTGTTGTGTGTGTGGTTCGCAAATATTTGCCTTGAATTTAAGTTTGCTCTACAGACTTGCTGAACGTTTTTCAATGTGCGCCTAAAAGACGACAACGATTTTTTTGCGAATAACATTGCTCAACAAGTTTACTTGCTACAAGTTTAACACATTTAAATATTTAACAAATATGAGAATGCCAAAAAAAAGATATATATTACATAAAAAAAAAACACCATCTTCAAAAAAAAATGCCATTTTTATTTATTAAAAATCAGTAAAGTAAGGGTCATCACAAATCACTTTATGGACTCTGAGTACCTCCCACTCTCTTTCTTCCCCCTCCGCAAAACCCCAAAAGTAACCAAAGACTGACTGGGCTGACTGCCTTTAAATAAAATAAGCCAACCCTCCATCATTTGCACAACACAACTTCAATAGACTCTCTGCAACACGTAAAACAAAAAGATGCCACGTCAGCTAAGAGGGGACTGGTGGCGGGGGGATTGTTCTGTTCTGTTCTGTTTTGTCTCCCATAAAGCGCGCTTCAAAGGCAGTAAAAACTCCATTAACTGTCATCAAAAATGCATTTCGCATGCAGCGAATGGCCAAGAGAGCAAAGCCAAGTTAGCGAGGGGGAAACCATCAAATAGAATAGAATGAAATGGCGCAAATCAAAACACATCGAATAAATCAAAGAGCGAGAGAGTATGTAACAGAGACAGAGTGAGATAGAGAGAGAGAGAGAGAGAGAAAAAAAAACCCGTCGAAACACACACATTTTTATGGCTAATGAACGCAGCAGCCAGGATGAAGAAGAATCGCTAGAGATTGCCTCGTGTGGCCAGGCCACACAAATTTTATGCAAGCCCCGGGCACAAATTAACTTTCCAATTGATGGGGATGGGAATGGGGATGGGGAAGGGGGGCATTCGGATTGGGGGTGGCATTGCCATTGTCACTCCTCCCCGCACATAACACGCCAGTCGCAGTCGCAGTGGCATTAAATTTATCCCCAATTTGCGTGCAGCGGGGCAACATTTTATGCTCGGCTGGGTGGCGTCTGGCGCTCCACTTGGCTTATCAAATTTTATTAGTCGGCCAGCAAATTGTTGCAAGACGACAAATAACTTCAGTGGTGGCAAACGCTCTTGCCACAAGTTATGAGCCATCTCCCCCACAAAACGAAAAAAATGAATGCAGTTGACTACGCTAAGCTTAGACAAGGTACGCGTATGATTTGTCGCCGCTATCAATTTCAAAGCATTTTGACCAAGAAAACCAACCCTCTTTTTTCTCCAGCCGGGCCAAGACACAAGCGTTCCAAAGCTAGAAAAACGACCGGAAAAGTGCAAACACACGCGAAACTGTCGTCGACTTTCGGCTTTCAGCTTTCAGGCCTATAGTTACCCAACCACCCTCCGCCCCCAACCCACCCAACCACTCAGTTTTCCTTTTTGGGGGCTTGGCCGCGTGCGCGAATGCAATAAAACGTTTTGATAGGCTTATGACCGGGTTTTCTTTTGCTTCTTTTTTTTCTATGTTGGCACACCAGCTAGAATCACCAGGAGACTCTGTTCTGATATTATTTCAAATTCACTCGCTAACAGTTCCACCAATTTGTGATAAGAATTGGTGTCTCAGCAGGCAGAAAATCAATAAAGAAATATCTGACTTTAAGGGTTAAAGATGCCACAAGTTAATTACAAAGAATAGAACTTCTGCTAATCGGAGTATTTGAACAGTTTGTGCAAAAATTGAGGAATGGGGTTAGAAATTTGCACTTATTATTTTTTGGAATTATCAAAAAGATCAAAATGATATACGTTATATGAAATATTCTTGGTAACTGAGCAACACCACCGTTCAAATCACAAAACAAGTTCAAATGATGCCAATTGCGAAACAAATTTACAATATTCATTACTAAAGTAATTCTGAAAATCAAAAGTATCCATTGTTTGGGCTATCAGGAAAGGGTTTTGACAAGCGTTTTTTGTATTATTTTCCCTGCTGAGTTGATAACATTTTAAATGGACGTTTCTATATTTATATTTTCCATAAAAATAATATATATCTTTTACTCATTGTATTTTTGTAATATATTTTGCATTGGCCAACAATATGCAGAATAGTATAATCAATATTTCATACATTCAACCATCCCTCAAAGAAAATATTATTTTGAAATACGCAAATGTCCTTTGTAAAACATTAAACTTAAAAGCTTGATTGGGTCACTCTCATTTGTTCGAAAAGCATGCCTTAGAAAATATGAAATGAGTGCGTTTTCTAAGTAAACAGAAATTTAGTGAGGCGCATTTTGTGCTTCAGTATTATGTCTTTTCCCTTTCCGAAATCTATCTTCAATCTGCCCTGCGGCCAAAAGGCGTACTCAATTGCAAAGATTTTGACCGAAAAGCCAAGCAGCAGCAGCAAATCAAACAGAAATGTGAAAAAGGAAATGTGAATGTGAATAAATTGACAGAAATCAATTTTCAATTTAAAATTTAGATGCCACGCCCGTGTGCCCCATTCCCCAACCACAGCATATTTGCTCAAGCTAAAGATAAAAAGTTCGCTGATGCGCAAAATGTAAATAGTAGAAATGAAAGTTTACCCAAAAACCCAATGAAAATCCTACAGGTTGTGCGTTACTCCGGGGCAGATTGGCTGAACAGGCAGCAGGCAGATTATGGTGGAGCTGGATGTCGATGATTTCAAAGCAAAATATTGCCCCACAAACCTGGCAGGAGAAAAAAACCTTGCTTTGCGGTCAGTGGAATGGCGAATTTTGTTTCTCTTTTTGACTGTGATGATGTATATTGAATTGTTGGCTCTTTTTACCGGGTTCTTTGATTTTTATTGCCTTGCCGAGTTTTTTACGAGCTGTGTGCCATTGTTGAGACTACACCACCCACCCTCTACTCCAGAAAAAGCCCCGCCGATTGTTTGCTTAGCAGTCGAGTGCAAGCATTTCATTAGCATTAGC